GTCACTTAGCAATGGGCCGCAGTTTTCTCACCTATAAAATGATGGGGCTAGACTCGGAGTCCTAAGGTCCCTAAGTTCGAGTCCTGTAACTCTGAGAGAACCCCTCAGTTTACAGGTGAAGAAACTGGAGCCAGTGAGGGGAAGCTGCTTGTCCTGTGTCACAGGCCTAAAAACTGACTTTCAATCCAACAGCTCTTTCCACCTGCTACAGAGTATGCTGTGTATGGCAGAGGCTGGTACTGATACAAAGGAAAGCCAGGTGACAGGAACACCTGTATCACATTCCTTTTTCTATCCTCAGGACCTAATAAGCACCCGCAAGGCATAATAAGTGTTTAGCAAATGCTTATTGAATGAAAGCTCTGGCAGACCCAGCACCACTGTCCCTAAGGAGTCTAAGGGAAAATGTGGGTAGGACAAATGTAAACAGTTTACTTTAGCAGCCGAGGTGAACCTCAGACAAACTCCTCACATACATCTGGTTTAAATCTCCCCTAGGCTTTCAGTCCACGCCCTGAATGGCCGGTCTCCAGTTGGCACTGCCTCTGCCTGTGGGCATTATGCTCCCACATAATAAAACGGAAGCTCCAGAGCTCCACTCAGCTAAGCAAGACCCCTCTGAAAAAGGTGACTCTCCCCAACGGTCCTCTATGGGGCACCCGAGGAACAATGTCCAGCAGAAGCTTTTGAGCAACCAAGAGCTGACGCTGGATAATCTCTACACTTACCCCAAATGGAACACCTGCACGAAAGCCCGGAGCTACTCTTATCCCCGCTGTGCTGGAATCAGCCAGCAAGATTCAAGAAGCAATCCCCAGGGCCAAGCAAAGTGTTTGTTTTACTCACCAGGCCCTCAATCCCAGTATCCCAAAGCAAATAACCAGGAGTTCATCCCCTTTACAAAGAAGCGAGTTGGGGTGGACCGGGCATACCCACTGAAACCTGTGTTTCATCGGAAGCCCCAGAGTACAGGTGAGGCTGGCACTGATGGGGACCAGAATGTCTCTCCAAGACCCCCTGAGCCAAGAAAGTTTTCATACAGTAGCTTTGGTTCAAGGACCTGGGTGAATTCATCTGTGGTTGGTCCAGTTGCTGCCAGTCAGGAGGACAGGGTCATGGCAAACCCCAACAGGATGGAGTGGATGCAGATCCAGAGACTAGAAGCTGCAGGGGAGAGTTTAGAGGAGGAAATCCGCAGAAAAGAGACTCTTCTGAGGGAAAAGCTGAAGAAGACAGAGGAGGAACTCAGAAGGATCCGGAAGGAAAAAGAACAGGCTGAGGAAAATGAAAAAAGGGAGCTACGGAGAATGGTGCTCCCCGGGAGGAGACTTAAAGGCAATGGCAATACCACATCCAAACCTACCTTCTCCCCAGAATTCATGTCTGAGGAGGTCTTCAGCAGAGACACAGGAGACGATGAAACTTGGGGACGGTCTCAAGTAAGCTCTAGTCCATTCCAGTTCTCTGATTATGGAATTCAGAAGCTCAAAAGGGAAAGACTGGTGGCAAGCAATAACAACATCCGAGACCGGGTCTCAGGGCGATTGAAGGAGACGTTTTCTCAAGCTTCAGAAGCGCCACTCAGTGCTTTGCGGAGGTCCACCAGCAATTCTAGCTCGTCTAGGGCACCACACTCCTCGGGCTCTAGCTGTTCCACTGAAGAGCCAGAACTGGGCGAGTGCAGCCACTGTGGCCGAAAGTTTCTCTTGCTCAGGCTGGAGAGACACTCCAACGTCTGCCGCAGGATGCAGAGTTCCAAGAGGAAAGTGTTTGATTCCTCCAGGGCCCGGGCCAAGGGTACAGAACTAGAGCAGTACTTGAACTGGAAGGGACCAGCCTCAGTCAAGGTAACAAGGGCCTTATGGATTTGCCTTGAGTAGGGATCATTTTAAGAGCCTGTTATATACGCATCCATTTTCTTTAAAAAAATTTCATGTGTCATACGGGGAGAAAGTGAGAATTAACGTTTGATTTATTGATTACTACTGTGTGCCAGTCACAGTGATGGGAACTTTTCATATGATCCTCACCACAACCCTGTGAAGATTTCATTATCTTTTATCAAAACACTTGAGTTCAAACACTTGAGTATCAAAACACTTTGACACTTGAGTTCAAAAATCAAGTGTCAGAGAGGTTAACTTGCTTGAGATCACAAACAGTCTTAAATGACAGTCAGCATATAAATCTGGGTCAGAATGACTCCAAAAATTTAGACTTAAAAAATATATGTCCTTTTGGGCTTCCCTGGTGGCACAGTGGTTGAGAGTCCGCTTGCCGATGCAGCGGACACAGGTTCATGCCCTGGTCCGGGAAGATCCCACATGCCGCGGAACGGCTGAGCCCGTGGGCCATGGCCGCTGAGCCTGTGCGTCCGGGGCCTGTGCTCCGCGGCGGGAGAGGCCACAGCAGTAAGAGGCCTGTGTACCGCAAAAAAAAAAAAAAAAAAAAAAAATATATATATACACTTTTGATTATAAAAGTAGTAAACACTTACTTTAGAAAATTTAAGAGAATGAAAAGTATAAAGAAAAATATTATGAAGCATTTCACTACCCTGAGAGAATTCTTCACTCTCTGCAATATATTCTGCCACCTCCCAAGATTAGGACTTGCCACCACTCCTATAAACTGTATCTATTTTTTCAAGATTGGCTAATTTTGATATACCTTCTTAGTAAATACATGAAACACAATTGTTTGGAATTCTTTTTCTCCCCATTTAGAGCGTAAACACCTTAAAGTTAGAGGACTTTATTTTATTTTTTAAATAATTTTAATTGGGGTATAGTTGATTTACAATGTTGTGTTAGTTTTAGGTGTACAGCAAAGTGAATCAGTTATACGTATATATATATATATATATATATATCTCCACTCTTTTTTAGATTCTTTTCCCATATAGGTCATCACAGAATATTGTGTAGAGTTCCCTGTGCTATACAGTAGGTCCTTGTTAGTTATCTATTTTATTTATTTATTTATTTATTTATTTATTTATTTATTTATTTTTTGCGGTACGCGGGCCTCCCACCGCTGCGGCTCCTCCCGCCACGGAGCACAGGCTCCGGACGCACAGGCCCAGCGGCCACGGCCCACGGGCCCAGCCGCTGCGTGGCACGAGGGACCCTCCCGCACCGGGGCACGAACCCGCATCTCACGCATCGGCAGGCGGACCCCCAACCACTGCGCCACCAGGGAAGCCCTTATTTTTGGCTACGTTGGGTCCTCATTGCTGCGCACGGGCTTTCTCTAGTTGTGGCGAGCAGGGGCTACTCTTCTTGTGGTGCGCAGGCTTCTCATTGCAGTGGCTTCTCTTGTTGAGGAGCACGGGCTCTAGGCACGCGGGCTTCAGTAGTTGTGGCACGTGGGCTCAGTAGTTGTGGCTCGTGGGCTCTAGAGCACAGGCTCAGTAGTTGTGGTGCATGGGCTTAGCTGCTCCGTGGCATGTGGGATCTTCCTGGAGCAAGACCCGAACCTGTGTCCCCTGCATTGGCAGGAGGATTCTTAACCACTGCGCCACCAGGGAAGTCCAGTTATCTATTTTATATACAGTAATGTATATATCTCAATCCCAATCTCCCGATTTATTCCCCCCCAGCACTCCCTCCTGGCAACCACAGTCGGTTCCCTACGTCTGTGACTCTATTTCTGTTCTGGAAACAAGCTCATTTGTACCTTTTTTTTTTTTTTTTGGTTCAACCATATACCATTCTAAGTGCTCTAGATTACATATACTCTCTCACATAATTTCCCAACAATACTACTACTATCCCATTTTAGATATGAGGCAAGAAGTTAATTAACATGACCAAGATGACACACACACACACACACACACACACACATTTTTTTTTTTTCAATGTCATAATATTGACATTCAGTCCAGTAATCCTCCACTGCAACAGCTCCTTTACTTTGCAGTGAAAAGTGATTTGTATATTTTTTGCCTCTGAGTCCTTGTGGGATTTTTTTTTAATTCAAACAGAAAGTCACAAAAATTATAATCATCCTCATCAGTTCACTCTGTCCCATGTAATTAATTTTTTTTCATCTTGATCTTTTGTTAGCACTTTTATGAATTCATCAGTTTTCCATTAGAGTTCTGAAAATGCTTATTCATTCAGTTCAGCAGTATAGTCAGTTACCAGAAACCTGTACTTGTCAGAGCCTTTTCCATGAATTCCTCGAAGATGAAACCCTTTTATAGGAACATTTTTGCAAAAGCATCAGAGTACACCCAGAACTGTCTGTAAATGACAAACTTAAAGATGACCACGGTTAAAGATTTGATGAAAGTTCGTAATAATGCAATTGACAAGAAATTTAGTTATTTCTGGGGTATACATTTTAAAATAATAACTAGAATTATGACTTACAACATTATACCAGCACATATAAGATTTTTAGGAATTTCATGTAATGTCTGAAACATTTATATTAACATATTTCCATACAAATAACCCAAAGGAAGTTTAGTATTAGTTGGGTTTTTTTGTTTGTTTTTTTATACTGCAGGTTCTTATTAGTCATCAGTTTTATACACATCAGTGTATACATGTCAATCCCAATCACCCAATTCAGCTTCCACATATAAGTGATATCATATGATATTTGTCTTTCTCCATCTGACTTACTTCACACAATATGACAATCTCCAGGTCCATCCATGTTGCTGCAAATGGCATTATTTCATTCTTTTTTTATAGCTGAGTAATATTCCATTGTGTATATGTACCACATCTTCTTTATCCACTCCTCTGCTGATGTACATCTAGGTTGCTTCCATGTCTTGGCTACTGTAAATAGTGCTGCTATGAACATTGGGGTGCATGTATCTTTTTGAATTATGGTTTTCTCCAGATATATGCTCAGAAGTGGGATTGCTGGATTAGAGGACTTCGTCTTTGGTGAACATTCCTAGCTGCAGAAAAATGTTGTAAAAAGTGACTTTGAGACACTTCCATACATTTGGGGGAACTTCATAGGCACATTTGGACAGTCAGATCTGGAGAAGATTGTCTGGTGAAGCTTCTACCACCTTGTCAAGGTTATAACACGGGTTGTAAATGAGTGTTTCTCAAAGTGTGGCATGCTGACATGCATTTTTTATTTTAGTAATTGTAATGTGTATTAGAAAAGTAAAACACAGTAAGCCCTTGATTTCATGGGAATCATGAATTTAAAGAAAAATAGTAAGGGGGATGAAGTGAAAGTGGTATGCAAATGATCAAAATGTGCGAAAGCCTAGACCACATGATCTCAAAGCCCCGTCCAGCTCTGAGTCTCGTAAACTATGAGCGTGTTATTCTATTTTCATTTCCTTCCAACCCTCCCACTGCCACGCTAACACCTCTTGTCCGTTAGCACTTTACAGTTTATGTGTGTATTTGTGGGGCCTTTAAAAACTCACGTTTATGTGGTGGCTGTTAAGAGAAGTCTTTTGCAGTTTTAATTATTTCTTTCAGTACGATATAGGAGATCACTACAAGAAAGTCCTTTCCATGTTTAGCGACGATCTCCCTGAAATCGGGTTTCCAACGAGAAGTCAACATTTTGCCCTTGCAGATAATGATATGATCATCAGTTCCTGTTCTTTCCTGTTTTCTTTCTGGTCAACCCAATAATCTACTTGGGTATTCTCTGTCCCACTATAGTGGTTTATTTCTGGCCAGGACCTAAAAGAATCTTGTGTTTCTTAAATTCCCAAATACAGTAGCAACAAAGCAAAAAAAAAAAAAAAAAAAGGTTTCTGAGATCAGATGCCCTAGCTTTCTGGAAACTAGTTTGAGGAAATATGTTGCATTGAGGACATCGAGGCAGAAAGGATCTGGATTGAGATGGACTCCTCTCCTTGGACTGTCCCAAGTTTTATTCCAAAGCTCTGTGCCTTTGTAAGCTGAGTGGTTTGTGTCTCTCTGTTATTCCTTCAGTGTACTTGCAAGAACAGGTGATTTTTCTTTTATCCTTTAATATTCACATAACTTCCAGCAGACTCATACTCTTGTCTCTCTACTAGACCTTATGTATTTGAGCATAGAGACTATATCTTTGTGCTTTGTGATTGTTAATTGAATAAACTTCAATACAATGAAGAATTAAAGTATAAGTATCATATAGTTGAGGAACTTCCCCTAATTCAATTGTAAAGGTTCCTAAATACCATCTCTAACACTCTGATTCTCTTGCCTTGTCTGTTTCAGTAGGATTTTCCTGATGGATCCTTCCTTTTCCTTTGATAACATCTCTTCCTATATTCATCACCAAGCAGCTACTTGCTTGCTTTCTTTTTTCTTCTTTTTAAAATTAATTTTATTTTCATCTGAGTAGTATTTGAATACATTTAAAAAATCATGTAGTACTAAGTGACCTATAATGCAGATCAACAGTATTTTGCCTCATCCCTCTCTGGCCCCTCATCTAGCTCCCACAGGCAGTTCTGATAGATGACTCTTCTGGCATGCATTTCCATATTTCTAAATAATATACTTATTTGCTTGATTTATCAATTTTGCACATTATCTGTTGACCTCTTATGGACACTCTGGGTTCTTATCCCCTCTCCTCCCACTTTTCTCCTTCCCTTATCCTTCCATTGTAGTGAAATCACAGTTTTGGGTTAAACCAGTAGTCAGCTGTTTATGTGATAATAACCACATACATTTTGTTCACTGCTGAGTGGACAGATTCTGCCCCTGCCCACATGCACCCAGAGTTAATAATTGACCCATGTTTTAATTTGCTTGGTTTCCTTCATGCCTAACTCTATTTTTTTTCCCCTGAATGATCTGCCCAGTATCAGACACCTGTTAATGTTTTTCTGTCAGTTTGACTTTTTTTTCTTCTGGAACCTCCATCCCACCATTCTTTTTCTTCCTGCTCCAGTCCAGACTGGGTTCTTCTCCAGGTCTGGTGCAGACCTGTTGTTTGGTGCTTCTCTCCTGTTTCCAGCATCCTGTGTCTTCCTTTTTCTTGCTTTACTCCTTGCTTTGCTGAAGCTTTATTAAGAAAGGTGCACGGGAGGCATATTTTTTGTCTTGGGATGAATTAAAATATCTATATAATAGCTTTATTTTTGATTGATGAATCGGCCAGGTAGGGAATTCTAGCTGGAAAATTATTTTCTGTTAGAACTTTTATGGCATTTTCCCACTAGCTTTTAGCATCCAATGTAACTGTTGAGAAATCTGATACCATTTTGATTTCTGCTCCATTATATGAAACCTATAGATTTTTTTCTTTTTCTTAAAGCTTATAGGATTCTCTCTTTATTCTACAATGATTGTGTTGGATAGTGGGTAGGCCATTTCAATCTCAAGGGTAGTGATATTTATTTCTAGGAATGTTCATTGTCTTCTTTAATAATTTCCTCCTTGTGCTTTCTGTTTTTGGAACTCCTATTAGTCAGTGTTGGACTTTCTAGATTGACTTCCTAATTTTCTGATCTTTTCTACTTTCCATCTTGATCCTTTTTCCCATTCTGTGTAACTTTTCTGACATTATTTTACAACAGTTCTATTTTTATTTTTAGCTATTGCAGTATTAATTTATAATAGTTCTCTCTGGTTCTCTCATTCCTTTTTCATAGTATATATATATATTCTTGTTTCATAGATAAAATCTCTTCCAACACTGCTTTGATATTATGATTGTAAACAATTTCTTCTGCTACCTGCCTTGTTGCTACTTCCTGAGCGTGTATGCACGTGTGTTCCTGTACTTGTTCGGTCTCTTCCTTGTTAGAGCTTTACTGACTGTCCGTTCATATTTAAGCTTAAGTGGGGCTTGTTGACTGAGGGCTTTCATATTAGGGTTGTCAAACAGTGAGCCTTTTAATTGGGGTCCCTCAGAATCAGCAACTCAACTTTTCTCTCAGTTGCTTGGTGCATCCGGAGAACTCCTGCCTCCTATGAGGGTGCCTGTGTCTGGTACTCTGGGAGCTGAGTGGGGGAAGGAAGCTGACAGTTAATTCCACAATACATTGTGTACACTTGCCCTTAAGCTCCATTTTCAGCCCCTAGATTAACCCTGTTCTCCACTGTGCCTGGATGTCCTGAGTCTGAAACCTGTCTGGTTCAATTTCTCCAGAGAGGGTGCTGGAAGTGTTGGACACTTGGATGTGCAAGGTGGAGAGAAGCCCTGGGAGCCAACCTGTTCTCCGCCCTGTACCTCCCCCTTCCCACTACCTGTATTTCCAAGCACTGAGCCTCCCAGGGGTTCTGCTGGGAAATGCGGCTTGCCTCTCAGTACTATCCGCCTTTGCAGGCCCTTAGTTTAAGTCAGCGGTCCCCAGACTTTTTGGCACCAGGGGCCGGTTTTGTGGAAGACAGTTTTTCCATGGATGGGGTGGGGAGGGGGAAGGTTCAGGCGGTGATGCGACCGATGTGGGAGCAGCAGATGCAGCTTCGCTCGCTCGCTTGCCCGCCGCTCACCTCCTGCTTTGCGGCCTGGTTCCTAACAGGCGGCGGACCAGAACCAGTCCGCAGCCCCGGGGGCGCTGGGGGCCCCTGGTTTAAGTGCCACCACTCTGGCAAGTCAGTTATCATTGTTGCTTCTTTCCTGTTCTCTGCTAATGGAGACTCAGGAAGGGGATGAGATAGACACCAAGTTAAATGATCAGTCTTCCTTCAACTTACAGGCTGAACCTCCTTGGAAGAGCAACTGGAAACAGAAGCACGAATCTTTCATCCGTACCCTCCGTCAGGCTCGAGAGGTCCAGCAGGTAATTGCCAAAGGTGGAAACCCCTCCGACCTGCCTCCCATCCTGCCTGCAGAAAATCCAGACTATATTCAGTGTCCTCACTGTAGCCGCCACTTTGCTCCCAAGGTGGCAGAGTGGCACATTCCTAAGTGTAAGACCATCAAGAACCGCCCTCCACCTCCAAGGAAGCACTGCAGTTGAGCAGACAACAGTGGAAACTTCCTTGACAGTCCAGAAGGCTCTGCTTCTCTTCAGCAGTAAATGGGAGTAGAATAATTTGATGCAGAGCAGAAAGAACTAAAACTTTTACATCTCCCAGGTCTGCCTGCAGAGCTGAAATCGGTGAAGAGAGAGACCCATTGCTAAGCAGCAGGAGGCAACAGGAAGCCTCAGCTTCCCACTAAATCACCGCCTGTGGCTGGTGTGCCTCATGTTATTGCCCTAAGAACTGATGGGTGAGGACACGTAAGAGTAGCGAGTAGGCTACATTAAAGCTCTCTTCTTGCAAGCCTGATTGTGGTTTGTGCTAGTTAAGTGCCTGCATTTGCTGTGCCTTCTTGCCACTGCCTCTACATGTATGTCTATGGCTTCTGTTAACTCCTCTTGTTCTTGCAAGAAGTCGGCTCGTTGGTATCAGAGGATCATGGTATCTTATAAAAAATACAGTTTTGCCGTAAGACAAATGACCTCCCCGATACATGGTCCTGGCCAAAAGTCAATACAAGTATGAAAGGTTCAGGCACCAGTATGTCCTAAAGCCTCCCCATGTTGTACTGTGTAATAAAGGGAAGCTCATCTTTATGTACAATACTTTACAGGGTAGGGATGGGGAAAAGCACACTATGCCTCTGTAGTTGTTCCTTCCTAATGGATTTCATATGTCAGAAAAAAAAAAAAAGGAAGGAATTTTAGTTTCAGCTATTCCTAGCACTCTGCTTTCAAATCAGGTTGGTTTAACAACTTTTAAAATGAAGCAGCAAAATATACCATCAAAGCAACCTGGGACATTCTGGTGTCACATATCCCTGCTGATCACATCACAGTAAACTTCTATTCTAGAAAGTAAACTTTGAAGGAAAAGAGCAGATCTAAAATTTTCTCTGGGCAGAATCATGCCTACTGCAAGTAACCTTCATAATTAGGCCTTCAATAAATGGGTTTGGGGAATTTAAAATTAAACAAATAATAAAATGAGTGTGTCTTAGACTTGTCAAACGGGAGAAGTGATAAGGTAACGTCTGATGGGGGAGAAGATATCAGTTCAGGTAGGATGAAGCTAACACAACAGATCTGAAATACTAGTAAGATTACTGCCCTGACAGTATCACTCAAATTGTTAGTTTAAAACACTGGATAAGCTGTGACAAAGCGAGAGAGTGGCATGGACATATATACACTACCAAACATAAAACAGACAGCTAGTGGGAAGCAGCTGCATGGCACAGGGAGATCAGCTCGGTGCTTTGTGACCACCTAGAGCGGTGGGACAGGGAGGGAGACGCAAGGAGATCTGGGGACATGTGTCTATGTACAGCTGATTCACTTTGTTATGAAGCAGAAACTAACACACCACTGTAAAGCAATTATACTCCAATTAAGATGTTAAAACAAAACAAAACACTGGAAAAAAATCACCTAACCTGACCTGGGCAAAGGGGACTGTGCAGACCACAAAACCACATTTACTAAACTACAGATGGCCGCTCACTCTTGTTCCATTTCCTCTGCAGCTTCTGCTGAGTGGCTGGGCTAACAGATCAGACCAATCTGATATGCAAGTTTAAGGCTTTAGCTGTGAAGCTGCTAGACACTAGGCTAAAAAAATCATGTTTTAAAAAACAGCATATATTGCTTTATGCTCTTCCTAACTGTTACAAAGAAAGAGAGGTATCATATAATAGGGCTTTTTGGCTGGTCATTCAAAGAAAACTCACAGAGAGACACTGGATATTTAACCCAATATATACATTCTCCAGTCAAGTTTAATGAGGTACCCACTTTAACACTTGATGGTAAAAGCAATAGGTGACTAGAATGAGTGGTGGCCAAGGTCACACAGTGGTAGCCTGTGGACTGCTTTGCCCCACAGGTATGTTTTATTTGACTGACATAGTATTAAAAATATAATCTGACATTAAAAAATTGGGATATGGAGCATCTTTTGAGAAACTGGAAGTTCTGGAAACCCTGGGCCTGCAACCTTATATAGCACCAACTGAGTGGGGTTTAGAATCTGTTGCTCCTTCCAGACAGGGCGGAGCACGCAGATCACCACAGCCCCGCCTGGCGTGCTTCACTTATTTGCCTTGTCTGCCTGGCCTGGAACCCCTGGATGACATTATAAAGGTCACAGATCAGGGGCCTCCAGGGAGAACAAATGTTGTGTGTGTGGGGAGTGCTTTCTTATGCGGCTAGAGGAACAAAGAATAGTCAATGCCATAGTGTTCTCTTCGATCTCAACATGTTTAGGCCTTTGATTATATCAGGAATATCTATTAGCCCTTTAAAATTAGCTTGATCAGATCTTTGGGAAGAAGAACCTTTTTCTATCTACATCTCTTCCTAGATAGCAGAGGATGACAGAGGATAAATAAATGCTGCTTGTTAATGTCCGTGTTTTATACTTCTTTATCCAAGAACCTTTAGTGCAAGTAGATGCTATACATTTTAAAGTTCAAAAGGTTAAGCAATGAGAAAAAATCTTACGGTGAAACTCACTTCGTTAAAAAGTATACGCAGTGTACTGAATGCAGCACAGCACCTTTGGCCAACATTTGCTTTAGGTCATCAGTTTGTCACTTTTCACAACTACACAGGAGGTAGCAGAGACATGATATAGTGTTTTTCTTCCTAATGTTCGTAATTCTGTGAGGTTTAGTGATCAGCACGTTTATTTCTATAGTTAATCACTGAAGCAATAAATGATTTTTTTGCTTTGTGGCAGGAAGGAACTTGTCTCGTAGTCCTGACTACAGCCCACTCTGCCCTGACACTATCATGAGTAATATTTCTTTGGAGGCCCAAGGATGCTCATTTGAAATAATTCATTTACAATACATCCTTGCACCAGAGTTGTTCTATTATGAATGTTTCCAAATATACGGCAAAATCAAATGAAATGTGAGTTAAGTCTGCTCTTGCTCTAAACTTTAGTGAAATGTTCAGCCAAGAGAAGTTACAACTTAGCTATGCCAGGGAGACCAAATATAGTTCAGCCTTTGTGAGGGAAAACAGTTTTACAAACATAAACTGGCAGTATCACTTGAAAAAGCCCACTGTGGAGATAAGTACAAGACATGACCCTTCCTCTTTTAATGGCTCATCTTTTTCTCCTTCTGCATTTTAAGCACTATATTTTAGAAGTTTTGGGGGAAAAAAAGTTGTAGCAGCAAAAATGATTCTATTAGTAAGAAAAAGAAACTGGCAAGAAGCAAAGATTATTTCTGTGCAAATGTCCCTTGCATTGTTTCTGTTACAAGACCATTTATTTCTTTATTTATATAAAGACTCACTGAATCAAAAATTCACGAAGGCCTAGAGTCTGTGTGTTTTATCCCCAGTGACTAAGGTCCATGCGTAGGCTCACTGAGGCATAGCACTGATTGAGAGTTTAAATGTTTATTTAAAACAGAAATGTCAAACCACTCCACCCTCAACCTTTCAAACATCTGGCTAACAATAAGCTAATTCTTCAGCGACAATGTCAGAGCAGAGGAGTAACTCAGGTTATACTATAACTCAAAAGCAATACTACTAGAAAACTTAAAACACCTAGCACTACATAAAGAAAAGTAGGATGCAATTTAAGAGAATTAGCTACAGAAAACCATTCAAAGGCATTTCTGCTGCCTCACCTTTTACTTTTTATCTGGTGCATGGCTACCACATTTGAACTGGTTTCTGTTTGCGTAGCTTTTTGGTGGGAAAAATCATATGGCTATCCCAGGCACAATTTAGGAAAGTGCAAATTGTCTCTAAGGCACAGAACTTAGATTCTCAGCCAGATTAACAGCAAACCTAGACTTCCCAAGGGAACGTGCTAGAGAAAACGACCCCAACGTTCCACTGCTAGAGAGTGACTTCCCCTCCGGACCAAGAGCCCAGCTCTCACCCTCCCTTCAGTGCTCACTTTCATCCCATAGTCTCAGCAACGTGCCCATGTTCCTCGGTTCCATGGCAGAAGCAATACTCATGATTAACACCCAAAATGACCCTGCCTCTCAGGCCTGCTGAGGTGGTGAGCATGAGGGATACAGGAACGTAAAAGGCCCGTCAGTCCTTAAAAAAAAAAAAAAAAAAAAAAAAAAGTTGATTTTTTTTTTTTTTTTATTACAGATGGCTACGTAGACATCAGATATCTTCTGATACCTATGACTTTTTTTTAAAAAAAAAAAAAAAAAAAAATCAAAGTTGCATTTACATGATGAATCAAAACCCATTGTTAGGGTTTGTTGCAAACCCCGAGTCCCCAGAACTTGTAACTTTAATCCAGGGTTGGCCCCTTCCCTTATTTTAAGAAAAGGCTTCAGTGATTACATTAGTACCATTGTACTAGGCTTCCCAGAATTGAGAAAACAATGGGAATATTAAACCAAAGAAGATCCCATTGAATAGAGTTGCCCATCCCCAGCTAAGGGGTTTTCCCGGAGCAGCAGCCTTTACACCACCAGTTTAAGGGAAATGGCAAAATTTCCATTGCACAGGTCCTTCCAAAATATTAAACAGATATCAAACATTCATTTTTTGGTTGGGGAAAAATGAAACAAAAATTAACTTAGCTCTTTCTAGGGAGGTAGGATATGAGACTCATCAAGGCAGCTCCTGTGACTCAAAATACTAAAGGCTAGCTGGAAGCACAACACTCACATCCTTAAGTAAAACCATCAAACATTTCTAGGACACTTTCTCTCTCTGGGAAAGCTAGCTTGCTCCTGTCTACAAGGACATGAAGACACGGGGACCAGAAGGGAGCTCTCAGCCAAATTCCTCTCACTTGGCAGGCTCCTCCTGCTCTGCTAGGCTTCAGGGACTACCTGGTCTGGGGGCTGGCTTTGGGCCACTCAAGTAGGAAAGATGATACAGATTCACTGATATGGCTTCATAAAACACCAAAAGGGGAAACACACTGACTAGACATACAGAAAGGGAGCGGTTGGAGCTGCTGATGTCCAGATTAGAACCCTAAGAGCCATGAAGGCAGAGGCACAGGAAGTCTTCTCAGGGGCAGAAGACTCGGTCACTCTAGGCCCTCTCGAAGACACCGAGTAGAGGCAGCTGAAGGAGGACCTCTCCTCATGGTTTCCTCTGAAGTCCATTCCTACTGCCCCACAGACTCAATTCTCTACGAGAATTGAGGAATCATCTCAGGAATCTTCCAAAGCTAGGAAATCCCACCCCGCGTTGGCCACAGCCTAAAACTCCTGCTGTGTGACGAGGAGGGACCTACCCTTCTTTCTCTACTCCTCATTGAAGAAGTCTCACTCAACCCTCAGAGGAAAAGCAACCTAAGCCCACTGCTCCTCCTCAAGCATTTAGCTGCACAAAATAATTTTCTGAAAACAAGCTGGAGATTGACTCCACCAGACATACTTTCCTGGACTAAGGCTCCTGAGAGGGCTTAGAACACTTCACCACTCTCCAGATGACCCTGGATGGGCCACACCTGGTTCCAGCCCACTCCAGCTTTACACTTTAACCTCCTCCACCCAGAGGTGCAATGCTTGGTGTTGAATTCCCAAGGCAGCTTCCAATTAATGGTGAAAATGATAAGTGGGATGTAAGCTGCTACCAGCAAAATTAAGGGGAGCATTGTGTCTCCTCTTCAAAGGTGGGATCACCAGATGAGGTACAGAGCTGCTGTTGCTATGGCAGTCACTGAGGACAAAGCCAGGGCCATGGGGCCCTTCCATTCTCCAACACAAAACCACTCCTAGATCCTATCTAATAGGCAATGCTACTCTCCAAGTGTACATGGAAAGTGCTCCAGAGCCTCCGCCTCGCGCTCCTTGTCTGCAAGTGAACAAAGCCAGGAAAGCGCTCTCTGCGTTCAGTTAGTGTGCTGTGAAGGTCTTTGGATTCCAGTTTCCTGGAGGCTATACAGGCTCAGGAGACTAGAGGCTGGGTCTACAGGAGTCTGTTCCCAGTAGGCACCAGGAATCTGAATCTAAATCAGGCTTTGGATCCATTTCCATCTCTTCCTTTGCTGTCTGAGTTCCTTTGGAATGCATCCCCACCTGTCCAGATAAAACACAGTTCCAGGTTAACAACATGGCCACCTAGTTACAGCATTTCAGGACTAGATTTTCAATGCCCACCTCTAAGAATGTGTAACCATGGTTTTGAGAGAAGCTCATACTACTACCTTAATAATAGGACCTTAGATAAAGTCCACACCTGTACATTTGTTGCAGGTAGGGTGACCTAGTGTCGTAGTTTGCCCAGGGCTGCAGGATTTTCTGGGATGCAGAACTCTTCAGTTTTAAAACTCAAACAGCCCTAGGCAAAACAATCCTCCTCCCTCCTACAGCTGCCAATCACTCCATGCTTACTTCAAGTGTGTATGTTACTTTCCAAAGTACATTCATAGACATTATTTCATTTAATTCTCAAAACAACCATACAACAATTATTTTCTTCTTTCAGGTGAGAACCAGGGCTCAGAGAAACAAAGTAATTTGTCCAAACACATAAACCTGGTAAATGGCAAAGCCAAGGTTGACAGTATTTCCCTAACCTAGTTCACTCTATATAGAGCAATACTATGGCCCTTTAAAAACGACACAAGGGCTTCCCTGGTGGCACAGTGGTTGGGAGTCCGCCTGCCGATGCAGGGGACATGGGTTCGTGCCCCGGTCCGGGAAGATCCCACATGCCGCGGAGCGGCTGGGCCCGTGAGCCGTGGCCGCTGAGCCTGCGCGTCCGGAGCCTGTGCTCCGCAACGGGAAAGGCCACAACAGTGAGAGGCCCGCGTACCGCAAAAAAAAAAACCCAACAAAAAAAACGACGCAAGCAGCATCACCGGTGAAGTATTTTTACCAAAAATGTTTAACTTGAACCTAATCAAGCCTTAAGTCTAACTTCCAGTTTACAGAAATGACAGGGTGACAAAAGAATAAGATAAGCAATGTCTCAGGAAAATAAGGCAAATCCAGAATGTAGGACACTCTGTTGAACAACTGACCGTGTTTCTTCAACAAACAAATGCCATGGCAATTTTTTTTAAAAACGGGGGTGGATGACAACAAAAAAAAATCGCACAAGACTTCTAAGAAATGATAAAACTTTATGTAAGAACATAAAGGAAGACTTGAATAAATAACTAGTCAAGGCTGGGAAGACTCAGCATTACAGACAAGTCAACTCTACTCAAATAAAGATATAATTCAAAGCGAATCTAATGAATTCCAATATAAATACCAAAGGGAGTTTCGAGAAACTTCACTTTTGAGGAATTCTAAGATTCAAAGAGAAGAAGCAATGTGCAAAAATAGCCAATGTAACCCCAGAAAAGAACAAAAAGGAGCACAGGACTTTCCTTACTGGGAATCAAGACATTCAAAACTCTAGTATTTTAAATAGGACTAATTAAATAGCTCAAGGCAACAGAAAAGAGAGCCTAAAAATGAACCCGTGTGTATTTGGATATTTACAATATGTTAAATGTGATCTTTCAAATCAGTGAGGGAAGTGTGGATCACGGAATAAAACAATTTAAAAATGTTAAAAAAAAGGGGGGGTAGAAGTGGTGATGGAATTGTTCTAAATTAAAAGAAATGAGAAACGTAATAGTGTAAAAGGGGGTTCTTGACTGGTTTCTGGTCTAATAAAAACAGTTGTAAAGGACATTTTTATGGGAAAACTGGGAAAATTTGTGTATCAACTGGGTACTAGATGAGAATTGAGAATACTAGTGTTATTTTTTGTTAAGTGTGATAATAGTACTGTGGTTCTCCAGAAGAAAGACGTCTTTACTTTTAGATATGTGTAATAAAGTATTTAGGGAGGCTATGTCATGACTTTCATAATTTACTTGAAAATGGTTTAGCAAAAAAAGAAAAAGGAACAAATATACATGCACATACACACACTCATATTTCAAATACACAGATAAATACCTACACATATTTTAAACATACACAGACACAAACACATTTGAAATAATTACAGCAACATGTTAACAACGGTTGAACCTAGATGGTGGATGTATGGGTGTCCACTGAACTGTAATGTTTAAAGCTTTTCATAATAAGTAGAAGAAAAATCAAAGGTAACAAAAATACAATGGAAGTTAGGTGATGAAATGATTCAATCCAGGTGCCTGAAGAAGGACCAAGCATCTGGGATTAATTACAAACATTACATCATCAAAAGCTAAGTACTTGCAAAGAAGTAAGCCTATTTCAGGCACTGGTGTTTTGTTTCTGTGATTCTTCAAAACAGAATTAGAAATTCAATTATCCTTTTAATGCTCTCACCTGCTGCCCTCCTTCTAATTTCTTGTTCAGCTTCTGTAGCTGCGTAAAAATCTGAAGGTTTTCTTGCTGTAACTTCTGTTGTTCAGCCAGACACTTCAACACCAGACCCTGCAATCTCTCAACCTCCACCTGCAGAGTGCTGCATGCACAGGTAGGAGTCAAGGGTGTTCCCTTCCCAGCGCATGTTCCTGCAGGATTCAGCCGAGGTGGCTAGAGAGACAGGAGAAAAGGGTCATAGGAGGTTCTGCCCGGATGCTACAGCTCCCCAATCCAAATGCCCTCTCAGTGCTACCAGATTTTACTTTTAAAGTAACAATATAAAACACATACACACGAAGTAAATGGAAGAGAAACAGAAAACTGCTGGGATTACAATAGAACCTGGCTCTAACATAACAGAGCAAGAGAACTCTCAGTGCCTCAGTCTGCATTATGGTAAGGTAAAAGAATAATCATCTACTTTGGAGAACTTTGTGAAAAATTTTAAAGTCACTGATATCTTCCTATTTAAAATGCTGAAGTGAGAGAATGCACAATTTGGTTTGGAACAAGTCTTTCTTTCTTGCACGCCGGCTTTCTCTAGTTGTGGCAAGCAGGGGCTACTCTTCGTTGTGGTGTGCGGGCTTCTCATTGCGGTGGCTTCTCTTGTTGCGGAGCATGGGCTCTAGACGTGCGGGCTTCAGTAGTTGTGGCATACAGGCTCAGTAGTTGTGGCTTGTGGGCTCTAGAGTGCAGGCTCAGTAGTTGTGGCGCACGCTACTCTATGTGCTCCATGGCATGTGGGATCTTCCCAGATGGAACAAGTCTTTCTGATCACAGTGAGGATACCATGGTTCAAAGGGTCAGTATTCATGAAATGTAGTGGATCACACTTTAGAAGAGATTTAAGAGGTGTTCAGTAAATAGGATCGCCAAAACAATTCAAGACGGCTAACTGACAGAGGAATTAAAATGTTTACCTTGAAGTTTCAAAGGCTTTATTTCCTCTTCTGGGAAGCTTTTCAATTATCCTAGCCTGGATTTTTCTCCCTTCTTCTACTGTACTTTGTTTATAGGAAGGGTCAACAAATGATAGCCCATGGGCCAAATTCAGCCTACTGCTTGTTTTTATAAATAAAGTTTTATTGGAACACAAGCATGCCCATTCATTATGCATTATTTTTGGCTCCTTCTGTGTTACGATATCAGTATTGAATGGTTGCAAGAGACTGTATGGTCCGCATAGCCTAAAATAATTACTATGTAGCCCTTTAGAAAAAGTTTGATGATCCCTGGTTTACAGTTTTATTGAGATATTTACCACAATTTGATTTCTACCAAAGTTAGGTATACACGCATTGCTCCCCCAGTAGACTACAAGTATTATTTCTTACTTACATTTAGAACCGCCAACCTACCCTAGCAGTGTCATGAAAAATTGGATTTGAATTTTGGGCTTTCAGTTTTGGTACTTCTGAGGCAGAGAGAAAAGAAAGACAATCATCTGGTATAGAAAGATGGGGGCCTGTCAGAAATGTGAAAGGGTAGACACTTTTCCACAGAAATCAGTTTCGCCTTGCATACAGGCTTTAAGCACTACTGAACAGACAGTATGAGCTGATGCTGGGCAGCTGGGAAACCAGTGAAGCTAGAGGGGAAGACAGTGAGGCCAGGAGAACTGGGCAGAGCTTACAGCCACTGTTTACCTAGTTGTGATTTAAAGGCAAAAGCTCAGTTACCCAGGCTCCTGCTGGGGGCTTGTGTTCCAAAGGAGCTTCAGAGCCCACCTTGAGTCCTTGTAGCTCTTCGTAGGGCAGAGTATCTTTCTCAGATTCTGAAAAAGCTGCACTTAGGGGGGATGGGCTGTCAGGCATAGGGATGAATTCTGCATTTTCCAGCTCCTATGTATAAGAGAAAGAATCTCATCAGTTCTGTTTGAGCCATTTACTTTCGACCAAATTCCCTTGTTGCTATAGCTTTCACTCTGTCGTGACATCAGCACCCTCTAGTGGAGCAGGACAGTTGTGGTTACAACACAGCTCGCCCTACCTGTCAACATCCTGCCATTCCTTCCTCTGAGGAGTGAATAGTGAAGCGAATTCAAACTCAAATCCAAGAACATTTTGGAGTGTCTGACATGTTTCTCTAACACACTCAGTCTACACAGGCTATTCAGTAAGTTGGGAAGCTCTAAGGTAATGGCAGTGAGGCCAAATGCCAGGTTGCTAAAGGCTGACCTAAAGCTTTAGATAGAACTGTGTGCTGCTTCCTCCATTCATATTCCTATTTAGCTATCAAGTTTAATCTTATTATAGAGGGAACTTTAAATCTACAGGTTCTCTCTTTGGTGGGGGGCGGGTAAAAAATTTAAAATTTCTCTAACTGTAAATGTTGACTGTAGAAAATGTGAAAATACAGATGGGCAAAGGGAGATGATAAAAATCACCAGTAATTCCATCACTCATAGATAACCCACTGTTAAAGCATTTCTCTACCATAAGGCATTCCAATTGCCCCAATATTCTACTTCTACGAACCACAGTACAAAATCTAGAAGCTTAATCTTTGCATGCATGCATTACAAAAACTGCCTTCAAGGAAGGCTGCATTAATTTCCATTCATTTAAGTAATACAGGTATGAGCACATCTTACATCTTTTCTTGTCAGGAAGAAAAAGGATTAGAGATTTGGTCATTTCAGTTCAGGCAGAAATCAGAAACCTAGATACCTGCTGCAAAACGCTTGGATAGGACATGGGAAACAGATCCTTTCTAGTCCCTACAGAGGTACCTCTACCAAAGGAATTACCTTTCGAAGCCAGCCAGGACAGGAGCTGCTGGCCCCACTACTGATCCTCACGGCCTCCGTGGGACTGACTAAACCTTCCATTCCTCGGTCTGCTTCCATTGTTCCTCGGAAGCCTCCACTTGGATCAGGAGTTTCAGATTTCTGCTGACTGTCCTCCTCTTCTCCCCTACCGCCACCGCTGCCACCTCCTGGGCTAGAGGTCTGAACCACTGACAGATACACAGCACAGAAATAGAAAGCTTTGCTATGCAGCAAGATTTACCATCTGATAGCCCCACCGACCCCCGGAGAGCTTCCTAGAGTTGCGTGAAGCAGAACAGCAACAGTGTAAATCAGATACTTGGGACTAAATTTTTAGTTTTTATACAAGGTATTGTGTATCAGTATCTTTATAGCAATATTTACTTCTACTTTCCAAACTCGCTTATCCTTATGTCCACAGCAGATTATCAATGTTCTACCGCATTACTGAATACTCAGCCCAACCATAGCATCCATGCCTTAACAGATATACCCAGACTCCAGCATCCTTCATAGAGGTTCACCTTATATACAAAGCTTTTTCACATTTGAGCCAAACACCTCTTAAAGTTGCCAGATAAACTCACCATTAACTCCCTTTCTGGGGAAACACCTGAATGGAGAAGTCCTCAACCGTTAAATTCATTAAATTCTTTAATGACCATTCGTAAGAATTTTAAAAATATGATGGTTGGTTCTTTAAATATCATGCAGCATATTCCAAGTTACATTTAATGAAGATGAGTTGATGTACAGTCAGGAAATGAAACTGAGCTTTAATATGGGCCAAAGAAAAATATAACTAAGAAAGTAATTTGCCAAAGCTAAAAAAAAAAAAAAATTGCATGGTATATTCTAAAGTTAAATGTAAAAGCTTATTTATGATCACCAGCTAGCTAATCTGGCTTGAGGACTGACTATGCCACACTGTGATCCTACCGAAGCAGCAGAACTGTAGATGCCAAAATAACCTCTTAAGCTTGCTTTTTAGTTTTTTTATTTTATTTTATTTTTTTGGTATGCGGGCCTCTCACTGTTGTGGCCTCTCCCGTTGCAGAGCACAGGCTCCGGACGCGCAGGCTCAGCGGCCATGGCTCACGGGCCCAGCTGCTCTGCGGCACGTGGGATCCTCCCGGACCGGGGCACGAACCCGTGTCCCCTGCATCGGCAGGCAGATTCTCAACCACTGCGCCACCAGGGAAGCCCTGCTTTTTTGTTTTAAATGGCTTTTAAAAATTATGTTACATTTGACATACACATTAAGACTATTTTTAACATAAGTGTAAGTTTTGATGCCTAACAAAATAACCATACATGCATCTACTACATGAAAGTACAATTAGTTTCCAATATGGTAGCCATTAGCCAAATATGGTTATTTAAATTTAAACAGAATGAAAAATTCAGTTCCTCAGTCGCAAGAGCCACTTTTCAACTGCTCAACAGCCACATGTGGCTGGTGGCTATTACACTGGACAGCACAGACATAGAACATTTCCATTATTGCAGAAAGAGCTATGGGACAGGGCTGAACAAGAATATTACCTGTATTGCTCCATCTGCCTTGTGAATTCCTTCCTTCTCTGGCCTCCTACCTATATATAACTACTCTGATTAATTTTGTATTTTTCATTTCTTCTTGCAAAAAAAAAAAAAATTTTATCACATACTTAGGTATCCTTAAGCAATATATTATTTATTTTGCTTGTTTTTGAACTTTATAAAAAGGCATGTAGTCTGCTGCAACTTGCTTTCTACATTTCACATTATGGAAATATTTGTAGATGTTGTTCATTTTAACACATATAATATTCCACTGGATGGTTATAACATAGTCAACCAACAAATATTTACGGAGCATTTACCATTTGCCAGGCATTCCTCTAGGCAATGTGGATAAAATTATTGAATAAAAGACAAAAATCGTTGCCCTTACAGAGTTTATATTTTCCAGACAATGGACATGTGCTTTTAATCTTATGTTTTTCCTTTAAATACTGTTCTAGTAAAACGGAGCTGTAATATAACAGCTGTGCTTAGCAAAAAGGTATTTTATCATTTGTGACAGATATTAATATGCACAAACAGATGCTGAGCAATGGATTACTAAAGGAAACTAATAAAAGGTATGATGTGTGTTTGTGTAAACTAGAGTTCAACAAGTCTAGGTCAGATTTTCAACTGTCTTTTTGGAGGATTAGTCTGCTTTCATTCTGGGTCTTCATCTGTTTTGATTGCACAAAACATCAGAATCCAGTTATGAGACATCAAAGACTACAGGTACTCTAGCAAATGGAAAACCAAAAGGAACACAGATTCAATTTCCTAGCATGGCCCCAAATAAGAGAACCATGAAGAAAGCAGCCAAAGGAAAAGTATTAGAGAGGTTTGGGCTGATTTTCCCAACTACCTTGAAAGTTTAGCCAACTTTTAATCCTAAGGGCTTATTCTGAAGGACTACTTCTATAGACTGGAATACCCCTGGGAACACTATGGAAGTAAAGGGTAGACAGAACCCATAGCCCCTAGCATTGTAAGGAAAGGAACAGTGCGTAAGTCACAATACAATGTTGGGCAAGCCACGTAATTACTCCCACATGTGTGGTGGCAAAGATGTACTCTCCCTCTGACCGCAATGTAGAAGTCATAACTTATTGTGAAATCTACCAAACTATGACCTTCCCTCTTGATCACTGTATTCCTCATTTCCCAAAGATATATCCTATTTCCTTTTTTGGGAGACTGCACGGAATTCAACCCAAAGACTCACACCTCAGAAAACCACTGGTACCTGAGATACTGCTACTTACCAGTTCCGATGGATAAACCACTGCTATTCGAACGGATGGTCTTAGAATTCAATACTTTCTCTGAGGAAAAATATTCAGTAGGTAAGCATTGTTTACAGCCAGAGACAGGAAAAGTGACAGCCTAGGACAGGGAGTTAATCTAGGAGATAACTGCTATCTCTCATACCAGATATAAATATAAGCCAAGCACCAATAGCTACTCTATATTCAACTATGTAGCAATTCTCCACCTTAACTATTCTTTGGAATCACCTGGGAAGCTTTAGAAAGTAGCAATGCCTAGGTCCCACCCCAGAGGTTCTGATTTAACTGGTCAGGACAATGGGATTTCTAAAAACTCCTCAAGGGATTCTAACGCGCAGCCAAGGTTGTGAACCACTGACCTAAACAATGAACCTGTAAACCTTCACACAGACCTTTATACTTTGTTCATAACAAAGGAATCTTTATGCAGAGAGCAGTTATGATTTAGTTTCTTTTTAAAGGTGTACGGTATGTTTCTCACAAAAGCATGAGCACAGATAAACTAATTAGTGGACTACTAGAAGTAAATTCTACCGCGAGGGGGGCAGAGCCCTTATGTTATCATAAGGCAGCAAACAATGTTCTATTCCTACCACTAGATATGGTATCACTGACAATTATTAAGACTTACACGAGTAGCTTCTTTTCTTCAGGACACTTCTGTTTGCCAGAATGTGACCATTAGTAACTTGGGTGTGGTGTGGGTCTATCCTCTGTCAAAGCCATCCTAACCAACACATATGGAACCCTTACCAACAATGAGAATGGTGTGCCAGCCTCGGCAAGATAAGTCTGGGACGTGATGCAGAGATCCAAAGATAGGCCGAGGCCATGAAGTGCAGATATCAGAGCCATGCGGTCTCTCTGTGGGGGTCATTGCCAGGCGACCATTACCACCATTGCCCCAGGCAAAAATGTGATTATCTAGACAGAAAAAATTAAATAGCAGACAACTGAACAGAACACTGGCTTCCCAACTCTTTTGGGTTCCCCATCTTTATGCCCTAGAGCTAAAAAGATTTCCCACGATGTATAAAACAAGGGAAAGCTATTTATTCCCCTATATAAAGCCTAAACAACTCCTGATGCTACCCAGGTAAAAATGACCACCGCTCCTACATACTGCCATCCATTCATTCACTCATTCAACATTTTTGGTCATTCATTCAAATAATTATCGGGCATCTACTTCATGACAGGCACTGCTTGAGGTGCTAGGAAGAGAGCAGAGAACAAAACAAAGTTGCTGCCCTTGTGGAAATGACATTCTAGTGGGGAGAGACTGGTAAATAAATTACTTCAGGTAGCATTAAGTGCTAAGAAGGAAGATAAACAATAAAGAAAAGTGGAAATAAACAATAATAGTAGGGTATCATTACTTTAGACAGGGTAGTCAGAGAAGTACTTGTTGATACTTGAGCAGAGACCTGATTGAAGTGGGAGAGAACCAGGTGGATATCTAGGGGAAGAGCTTTCCAGGCAGAGGGAATAGCAAAGTGCAAAGTATGTATCACAAACACAACACAGAAGTCCTCTGCAGTTGGAGCAAAGTAAAGGAGGGGACGGTGGCCACAGAAGAGGTCAGGAGGTGACTGAAGTCTGGGTCATGCAGGCCATTCCAATGACTTTGGTTTTTACTGTTTGAGATAGGAAACTAGTAGAGATTCTGAACAGTAGGTATTTAAAAGGATCCCCTAGGCTACCATGAGGAGAACTGACTGCAGGGGCCCAAGGATGGAAGCAGGGAGATCAGTTGTAATAGTGAAGATGGTAAAAAGTGGCTGGATATATTCTGAAGATAATCTATAGAATTTGTGAATGGATGGGACGTGGCGTGTAGGATAGAGCTGCCATTTTCTGAAACAGGAAGGCTGCAGGAGGAACAGGTTTGAACAGAAGATCGGAAATTTGATTTTGAATACAGTAAGTTTGTTTGAGATGCCCATTACCTCTTATCCAAATCAGGGCATTTTTTAATGAAAAGGGGGTGCTATTAATGATTAAGCCCGGACAGTAGGCATGAATCAGGACCAACCTGGGAAGACCGGGCTATAAAGCCACTTTATCTTTAGACATCCAAATCAAGGGACTGTTGAATCAGTGAGTATAGAAGTCTGGTATGGTAATTAAAGCTATCAGTGCACAGGGAGGATTTAAGGTAATAAGCTCAATTAGAAAATAAAGGGAGAGGGACTTCCCTGGTGGCACAGTGGATAAGACTCTGCGCTCCGAATGCAGGGGGCCCGGGTTTTATCCCTGGTCAAGGAACTAGATCCCACATGCATGCCACAACTAAGAGTTCACATGCCGCAACCAAGGAGCCCGGGAACTGCAACTAAGGAGCCCACCTGCCACAACTAAGTCATGGTGCAACCAAATAAATAAATATTAAAAAAAAGAAAGAAAGGGAGAGAAGGATTGAGCCCTGGACACTCCAGGCTTTAGACTTGGATACTACAATCATGGCACTGAACCTACCTGACTACACTAATCTGTTTATATGTATGTCTCCCCTACCCTACTAGACTGTGAGTTCCCTGAGGACAGGGGCTTTCTGAAACTTTTTTTTTTTTTTTTTTTTTTTGCGGTACGCGGGCCTCTCACTGTTGTGGCCTCTCCCGTTGCGCAGCACAGGCTCCGGACGCGCAGGCTCAGCGGCCATGGCTCACGGGCCTAGCTGCTCCGCGCCATGTGGGATCTTCCCGGACCGGGGCATGAACGCGTGTCCCCTGCATTGGCAGGCGGACTCTCAACCACTGCGCCACCAGGGAAGCCCTGTCACTTTTTTTTTAATTGCAGTATAGTTGACTTATAATATTATATTAGTTTAGATATACAACATAGTGATTCAATATTTTTATAGATTATATTCCATTTCAAGTTATTATAAAATAAGGGCTATATTTTCCTGTGCTGTTCAATATATTCTTGGTGCTTATTTATGGTATACATAGTAGTTTGTATCTTTTAACCCCATACCCCTATCTTGCCCCTCCCCACTTCTCCTTCCCCACTGGTAACTACTAGCTTGTTCTCTCTCTGTAAGTCTGTTTTTGTTTTGTCATACTCATCTATTTGTTTTATTTTTTAGATTCCACATATAAGTGATAACATAGAGTATTTGCCATCCTCTGACTTATTTCACTAAACATAATACCCTCTAGGTCCATACACATTGTTGCAAATGGCAGAATTTCATTCTTTTTAATGGCTGGGTAATATCCCATTCATTGTATGTATGTACCACACCTTCTTTATCCAGTCATCTGTTGATGGACACTTAGGTTGCTTCCATGTCTTGGCTATTGTAAATAGTGCTGCTATGAATACTGGGGTGCATGTATCTTTTCGAATTACTGTTTTCCTTTTCTTCGAATATATGCCCAGGAGTAGAATTGCTGGATCATACGATGGTTCTATTTTTACTGAGACTCACTTCTATAGTCCCAGAGCCTAAATGAGGACCTGGAGCATAGTAGGCACTCAGTTTATGTCTGCTATGTGAATGAGGTGATCAAGTACAGTTCAACGGAGTAGAGGAACATTTATCAACAGGTAATATGCCCAGACACAGAGTCTAATTCTATACTCGTCATTCTGAAGTTTAACTTGAGAAGTACACAGATACTGAAGAAACATTACCTCTCTGAGGCCCTGTCAGAAAGTGCTACTGAACTTGCTATGCTATTTTTAATCCTCAGTGACATCCTGATTCTGTCTTTCTAGGTACCATTTCCATTTATCTAGCCTGAACTAACCAGTCTGTTCCCTAAAACCACTTGTTTCGGGACAAGCAGGGAAGGTTAATGTGCTACTCTGAAGGCTGGTTCACTTAATTAAATATGGTAACAGATCACTTATCTGACACTATTGCTGGACCTCTCTTGTATAAGTAACAGGCACAGACTGAAAGAAAACAAAGACGTCCCAGGGCATGAGCAATAACAAAAAAAGCCAAAATGAGTCAAAAGATAAGAAGATGAAATATGTTTTTTTGTTGTTCACTAGTCACAAGAAAGAAGTGGCTACAAAAATCAAGAGAGTTTAGAAGGTGATACAGGGAGAGAGAAAAAAGAAAGCACAAGAAAGAGGAAAGGGAGTGAAGGCTAGCAGAAGCTGCAATAAAGAAGAGAAGTGATAGGAGCAGGATGCTGAGGAGAAGAAATAGCTGAGAGGAAAGAGAGAAGAAAATTCCATTAGACCAATTCAGAAAGTTGAGAAACACATGGTATATAGCCCTTCAAGCCTTAGTAGTCCCTAAAGACATCACTGCAGTGCAGCTGACCCCAACGAAGGAGCAAGGTTAAATTATGTCATTCTCCTCTCTAGCCACCCAACATTTATTGGAACCAACATGGTACTGGGCAAGGTATATATATAAGTATTTAATAATTCTTAAAACATTGTACCAAAAAAGTTAAAGTAAAAAAAGTAGGGATTTAAGAGTACTAACTTGCCATTTTCTAGAAATCTGACCTTTTTACAGCAATCACTATGTTGGACACATGAAAAATTAATGAAGCTCCATAGGCATAAAAATTGGCCACCAATTTAACACAGATAAAAAAGTAAACATATGATCCAGCTACACAAATAACCAGTCCACCTCTTTTGCAAGCAAAAATTAAAATACAGCCATCTATCCAGAAAGCCTGAAATAACATGTACAGACTCACCATCAGTGGCAGCAATGGTAAACTCATCACCGCAGGAGACTCTGATCACTTGCTTTCCACCTAGGGGGCCCCCCAACAGGTTGATTCCTAGACGCTTCTTATAATTTCCAACACCCAGCTGTCCACACTTGTTGCAGCCAAAGGTCAGCAGCCGGCCTCGCTCTGAGACAGAAGCAAAAATAAATAACCAGGTACAAATGGGTCATGAAACAGAGGGAAAATGCAGACAATGCAGAGTCCCATAGACTAGCTTCTGGTTGTTAGAGTATACAAATATAAAGCTAGCTACCTAGGGCAGCTAGGGCATCTAGAACTATCTAGAACTATGACCAATTAGACCCAGGAAGTGATTCAATATTATATATTCTATTTTAAATGTGGAAAATGGGTACTATTTAACTTAGAAAACTTATAGATGGTGCTAATTACAAATAGCAGTTGCCAGAAATTATAGGTGTGGTATTCTCATTAAGGAATGTATTGATTATATACTTATGATGATTACCAACAAAACATTTATTTAAATGCCCAATTTGTTAATAAGATAATACTGGATGATGGGGGGAAATCAGGAGAATGTGTACATATAGTTAAGAAGCGCTACTACTTGATAGAATAAGACAGCCTGAAATACTAAGGCCTGTGTACACAGTCGTACATCAACTCACCATCAATAGCAGCAGTGTGAGTCTTGCCTGGGGCAATTGTACGGATCTTATAAAAGGACAACTGTTTGGCCAAGGTAAAGGAGGTTGTGTAGGGGACTTCGTGGTATGCCTGAAACAAGGTAGAACACAAAGCAAAGACTCATGAAGTAAAAAACGGAGGGGAAACAGGCTGAAAATGTTGTGGTGGTGACCAAAAGGCCTTTCAAGCAAATCATGTTATTAAGAAGGTGCCAGGTAGCTTTTCATCTTCAATAGAATAAAAGAAGAAATAAGCTCAATATGTAATCAGAGAATTTAGTATGAGGCAGGACTTTCTGACCACAAAGGTTTTAAGATTCCTAAATTAGGGTATGCAAAACATGAACTCTCCATCCCAGAAGGCATCTATATAAGGATAGAATCATTGACTTTTGTCTTGATTATACACTCTACATACCTAACAAAAGCAGGGGAAGGAATTAAAATCCTGAAGACTGTCCAGCCCATCAGTTTACTGTGATCTAATTTTACCTACAATATTCTCAACTTGTTAAAACCCATGTTCCCTTTATTTTTTTAGTTTATTTTTTTTTTTGCGGTACATGGACCTCTCACTGTTGTGGCCTCTCCCATTGCAGAGCACAGGCTCCGGACGCGCAGGCTCAGTGGCCATGGCTCACGGGCCCAGCCGCTCCGCGGCATGTGGAATCTTCCCAGCCCAGGGCATGACCCCGTGTCCCCTGCATCGGCAGGCGGACTCTCAACCACTGCACCACCAGGGAAGCCCTTGTTTTTGTTTTGTTTTTTCCTTTAGATTAGCATAAAAATAAATCTTCCCGTGTAAGTTTAAAATTTCACAACAAATACAATGTTGTAACAAAACCCAAATCAAGTAATGGTAATTCTGAATATGCCTTTTCAAAGTACATGGACACCCTCCCCAGACCTGCTCCAAATTTGCACTCTCCCATTTCACAATCACTACTTTAGAGATTGCTTAAAAATTAATTCTTTTTTTTTTGGGGGGGGGGCGGGTTCGCGGGCCTCTCACTGTTGTGGCCTCTCCCGTTGCAGAGCACAGGCTCCAGACGCGCAGGCTCAGCGGCCATGGCTCACAGGCCCAGCTGCTCCGCGGCATGTGGGATCTTCCTGGACCGGGGCACGAACCTGTGTCTCCTGCATTGGCAGGCGGACTCTCAACCACTGCGCCACCAGGGAAGCCCTTAAAAATTAATTCTTATCTTTTCCATTGAGATAGCAAACTTGTCTCAATATGACTCTTTAGAAAATGACAAAAGCTCATCATACTAACACAAAGAGGGGACTAGTACTTAATATCAGTGGTGAATTTATGACATCCTTGAAGGAGGTGAATGGTAATTACATTTAATAAGCCTGTATCAGTCTGTATCAGGATCACTTAATCAGCCTGTATCAGGATCAGTGATTTGAGAGTAATCATAAAAACTCCCTAGAGAGGTGATACATGGAAAAATGTTTCTTTTCATAATGTTAATTTTCTTGTATCTACTTCGGTGATAAGGTAGAATCTGAATTCTGTCACTGTTTGTAATCAATTTATTTATTGAGGTGTAACATACTATACAATATTGTACAGCTTGATACATTTTTCTAAAGGTATATAAATATAAAACTACCATCCAGATCAAGATATAGACCATTTCCATCACCCTAGGATTCCTCCTACCCTTCCTGTTAACAGTGTCTATGCCCCTCTTCCCAGAAGCAACCACTGTTTTGACTTTTGCCATCATAAGTTAATTTTGCCTGTTCTTAAACTTTATATAATGGGCATCATATAGTATGTACACTTTTGTGGCTGGCTACTTTACTGGACATAATGTCTGTGAGATCGTCACTTTATTCTTAAGTCAAATTCCACAGTCACAAACCAATAATAGCATTTCCAAAGAAATTCCAACCTAGAGAAGTTCTGATGATGTACTTAGGAGACCAAACGGGGTACTCACTTCATGATTGATGATTCCAGACATGCACTGATTCAGACCCAGTTTGTTGAACTCATTGAGTCCACAGGCCAGCACTTTGCCTGACTGGGTCAGCAGAAATGTCCCATCACAGCCACATTGAACTGCAACAATAATCAAGGCCTTGGGAACATCCACCTGCAAGAAAAAAAAAAAATCAGAAAACATAAAATCCCAAACATAACTTGTATTAGGGAAAAACCCTCAAATTCTTTCAAAAATGATGCTCTGCATTTAGCAGAATGACTACAGGGAAATAAAGCTTGCTTTATTTTCTTCAGATTTGCCCAGCAGCTTAGAGGCTACTGTTTTCAACAAGGAGCTCAAGTTTTATAATAAAGTAAAAGAAGGAAATTCCAGGTCAGCTAAAAGTTTTAGCAATAGGTCCTACTTAGGAAGACTTCTCAGAAAACAGTGGGAAAAGAGAAGCTTCGATCTATTACTGATTTAGTCCTCTGAGATGCAGAGATCCCATGATAGTTACAGAAGAAACTCAGTAGCCCTGTAGGGTGCCAGTCTGGTCATATAATAAGTGAGGTGACCAAGGATTGAGGCAGCAGCCAAGACTTCTGAAGGCTCACATCCTTCTGCAGCTAACTAGACAGGGCTGAAGAATGGTGGGGGCACATGATGGATGTCTGTGAAACCTGAAAACTCAAACCTCAAACCTTCTCCTATAGTCTTTTCAGAAGAAGAGGAATAGCTGTGAACCCTATTGATTGAGAATGGTCCCACAGATATATGTTAATTTTTAAAATGTCAATAAACATTGTTAATAGTGAACAGTGGGTGAGCCTGTGTCCTAGGGTGCATGTGACCGTGCTCTCTCTGCTTGTTTCAGCTCCTGTGCCAGCTCTCACAGTGCCAGCTCTTGCAGTACTGAGAGGAATTAGATATTACATTTCATATAATATGACCCCTAAATACAAACAACTACTTCATTTGGTATCCAACTGTGGAAAGGGGAAGGGAAATGGCTGTGCTGGGTTAAGGGATACTCTATTGCTTTCCAATATTTCCCATCCAGGGTGTGTTTAGCTTGATGTGACTTTTTCGCTATACATTCTGGTTTTAGTGCTCATCCCCAAGCAAGATGTGACTCCAGTATCCACAGTGGCTGCATCTTCTTTCGCAACTTTTTATGATTTAGTCAGATGACAAGACCACATAGTGCTAAATTAGGAATCCTGGATTGTCAGTCTCCCAGATAGGAAATATTGCAGGGATAAACACCTTGATATGAGGAGTCAGGTAAAGAGGACATATTACTGGAGTCTGTGTGACCTACACAGGCTCTAGGAAGAAATTGCCTCTGATTTTACCTTTTGTGGTGTATAATAATCCTCTTCTGAATCCAAACCCAGCCTTCCTGAGACACACATAAGAAAGAAAATCATTAAAATGAGGGCTTCCAGGGACTTCCCCAGTGGTGCAGTGGATAAGATTCTGTGCTCCCAATGCAGGGGGCCCGGGTTGGATCCCTGGTCAGGGAACTAGATCCCATGTGCATGCTGCAACTTAGAGTTTGCATGCTACAACTATGGAGCTGGCGAGCTGCAACTAAGGAGCCCGTGAGCTGCAACTAAGGAGCCCGCGAGCTGCAACTAAGGAGCCCACGTGCTGCAGCTAAGGAGCCGGCAAGCGGCAACTAAGGACCACCTGCTGCAACTAAGACCCGGTGCAACCAAATAAATAAATAAATAAAAAAGAAATCAAATCAAATCAAATCTACTGTACCTCTCAACTTAAAAAAATAAAATAAAATAAAATGAGTGCTTCCTTCCCAATGAAAATATTCTATAAGATTCTTTATTACTGGACTTCCCTGGTGGCACAGTGGTTAAGAATTTGCCTGCCAATGCAGGGGACATGGGTTCCAGCCCTGGTCTAGGAAGATCCCACATGCCAAGGAGCAACTAAACCCATGCACCCCAACTATTGAGCCTGCACTCTAGAGCCCGCGAGCCACAACTACTGAGCCCGCATGCCACAACTACTGAAGCCCACACACCTAGAGCCCATGCTCTGCAATAAGAGAAGCCACCGTAATCAGAAGCTCACACACCGCAACGAAGAGTAGCCCCCACTTGCCACATCTAGAAAAAGCCCGCGCGCAGCAACAAAGACCCAACACAGCCAAAAACAAATTAAAAAAAAAAAAAAAAAGATTCTCTTTTACTGAATTAACACTTCTCAAATAGAGGCTGCATGATGTGTTTAGAGGCACACAGCAAGAGGTCAGGTTGTCCGCCTGGGAATAAGTGGACAGAGTCAAGGCTATACCTACCATATTCACCACAGCCCCAAGAGTAGACTTCTTTGTTTCGTGTCAAAACCACCACATGATTATCTCCACAGGAGACCTGATCCACTGGATTGTTCAGGAAGAAGTCCAGCTGCATGGGTTCTAATAGTTCAGGGCCAGCAATCTTGTCCATGCCCATGCAGCCATAATAGTCAGATCCAAACGCATAGAGCTGACCTTCATCTGTGAAAGGAAGGAAAGCAGAACCCATCAAAGGAATGACTTATTTTGTCTAATCAGAAAGCTGGGCAGGGCTGGAATGAGGATGACCTCAGCCAATGAGCTCACATGGGATGATTATATCAGAGAAATCTGACAGACTGTCTATCAAGCCTATAGAGTTGTTGGTATTTAGGGGGTCATGTGTACCGCTACAGTAACAGTTAAAAAAAAGAATGGTGGGATGATATATTAAAGAGGCTTAAAATTTTACCGGGGCCATCTCTATTTTACAGAGAAAAAGGGAAGCACCAAGGAATCATAAAGTGAGTAATGGCAGACCCAAACTAAATTTGAGCTCCCAATTCCTGACTCAGTGTTATCTACACCTGACTAGGTAGTGAGGTTATTTCTGCTCCCCCCACAACTGGGACATACGATATATTTCTCCTAATCCCACCTCTTCTCTGTTATCCACCTGCCTTATCCTTGCTCATCACTACTCTAATGCTATAGCAAGTTGGGCATGTTGTTATTAATGTGTATAATATTTGCTCACTGTCTTTGGTTCTTTGGATACTGTCTTTTGTTGTAAAATCCCAACTAAAACTGCACAGAATTAACTAAAATACCCCACAATAAATGCACCTGGGTGCTTTCTGCTGCTGGCTTACCTGTTACACAGACAGTGAAATCATCGCCACATGACACCTGATGGATAGCTTTGCCTTGCAACTTTTCCACATGCTTTGGCTGTCGGTAGGAGGCTTTGTCTCCATGGCCCAGCTGACCATGGAGCTTAGTACCCCCTTGCATGTTCTGTGAAATAAATAGGTCTTGTGAAGTTTTAAACTTTTCATGCCAAATCTTTAATCTAATCTTTAGTATCACTTATTAAGAAAAACAGTAGGAAAAATATCAGTTGGAAATATAGAAATGGGAAAAAAAATAGGTATGAGGATTAAACCTTTTAATGGTAGATAGTAAAAAACCCCTGCCAACAGATAAAGATTTTTAAAGTATCCAGACTGATATCCATCGGGCCTTAAAAGGACCCATTCTCAATTTTGTCTTTCTTCTTCAAGTCTAAGGTGAACTGTCTATTTAATTATGGGTGATGATGAAAAAATTCTTTACATAGTCTAATTTGATTGTTTTTTTTACAGGAGTACAGCCTCTTGGAAATCCTTATAAAAGTTTTACAAATTTTGGTCACAGTTTCCCTGAAATACGTAACAGTCATAAGGAATCTGGTAATATCAAAGACACTGCTGTAAAGCACTGAGAATAGTCCTACATGACTTTTCAACAGTTTTAAAGATATAAGTAATTCTTCCCATTCAATAACTCAACTGTAAGTCCTTACACAAATGTTTTTTAAGGCACTAATTTCAATCCACCTCTGGCAGCCCCCCAGAAGCTAGTTCTTTAAGTGCGAGGATTTTAGGAAATAACAGCAAGTTAAAACTCTGTAACAGAGGCCAAATCACTCATTCTTTCTCTCAATCAATCAATAGTTGAGTGTCTACTCTGTTACACACTGGGGATAAAGCCCGTCCTCATGGAGAAGTTATCTGAAACTACTGGAAAAAATGAGCTCCCTCAGGAAGGAGGAAGAGTGGGAAGAACCGAGAACCTAAGATAAGACAAGGTCGGGTAAAGAAAAAGCAGCCTGAAGTGAACCTGAGAAGGCACAGCGGAAGAGACAGTAGCAAAGTCAAGAGAACATGCTCTTGCGGAAGCCAAGGAAAGACGAGGCTTCAAGGAGGGAGCGACCAACTATGTCAAATACTACAGGAGATCAAGCAAGGACTCAAGTGTACCTATCTGTTTTATTTTCACAATTTATAGGTCATTTTGTCAAGAGTAGTTTCAACTGAGTGGAGGGATGGAAGCTGTACTGTAGGTGAATGAGGAATGAGTGGGAGATAAGAAAAGAGACAGCAAATATAGGCTGTTTGTTTGAGGTGAGAGAGAGGATAGAATCTAGAGGGGAACAAAGGAAAATTCTACTCAAGATATTCCATCTTCAATCACTGATGGAAGTCTTAGAATTTTCCTGACATGGTACACTGCTTCATTTGTTTACAAAGCTATTTCACAGGTATGAGTTGCTCTGAAATGCATGGTAATAGAACAGAGTAATTAAGTGACCTTCTGAAATCACCCAGTGGTAAATGAGAATCCAATCTCCTGAGTCCAAGCCTTTTAATTCTTTCTCTCTTTCTTTCTCTCTCTTTCATTCATTCATTCAAAAAACATTTATAAGCGACCTAACATGTACCAGGCATTGGGGATACATCAGTGAACTAAACAGACAAAATCCCTATTCTCAAAAGAGCTTACATTCCATCATCCCATGCTGCCACTTCTGCAGCACATGTTCAACCAACAAAATTCTTAGACAGCCTGGGCCCAGTAAACAATGAGGCGCACATCACTGTTCTAAAGTACGTAGCTTTCACTTACCACCCAGGTGTATAGTTCCTTCTCCACTGTGACCACAGCAAAGTGGGTATTCCCTGCACACACCTGCCGGGCACTACAGCCACTCTTGATGACATCCAGTTTCTGGGGAGTGGATTTCCCACCACCCCAAACATAGACTTCACTGGTTCGGGATGTTACCACAGCAATGGGTGCTTCAGTCACAGTGCTTGACCTGACGACAACCCCCAGAACAAAGGAACATTTAACATAAAAATTATATCAAAGAAAAATGCTTCCAGTCTTTTCCCTGACAACTGCCAATTATGGTATGAGAAAGTATGTTCTTTCTCGACAACTTATTTCAACCCTCTATCATAGCAGGCTTTGCAATTCCTGCCTTAAGGCTTCATCACAGCTCAGCCAGATCAGATAGCAGTCTGATCCATAACACCTACACTCTTCAACTTTTCAACATTCATCATGATAATGATGTCCACTTTAGCATGAGGGTAAAATTATAGCTTTCCTTTTCTCTGAAATGACTATTTGACATTTAAGCAGATGTTGGCTTCTGAAAGGATGCCAAAGGCTTCTTACTGGGATCAAACAATGTCCAGAAAGACCCCCTGGTGGTAATTTAAGATATATTACTTTTCAAGAGTCTCTTGAGCATTACCTTGGTCTCTTTGTAGGTGCATTAAGCAGCGTGACTTTTTCCTCCATCTCTCTACCAAAAGAAAAGCAAAGATACATGAGAGAAATAATAGGTTCCTATATTGCACTAGTGTCTCTTTAAAACCTTTCACAGACTTAATCTTCTATAAACCATATGCCTCCCACAATGTTACAAAACTTTTAGGAAAGTACTTCGATACAACTGAAACAGTTCCATAGGCCTAGCATTAGACAATTCATTAAATACAAGGGGGACAGCAGTCTGGGGCCATTTGCTTTCTGTCTCTGAGGAATGTTTCAGGCCGGACCAGAGAGCCTTGAGAACCTCTGATGCTCATTTTAGGAACCTGCTGACATCTTCCTTTAGTCTGCGCACTGACTCCCTCAACTCAGCATCTCTAAAGCTCAGCTCACTGTCTTTCTGCAAAACAGCTTTTCTTTCTGACTCTCCTAATTCTATAACTGGCACCCTCTATTCGCCTAGTGAACTAGGTTTAAAATTTCAGTGATTTTGGACTCAGCTGTCTTCCTTTCTTCAATATTCAAGTTTTATAGATTCTACTTATACAATGCCCTTTTACTCATGTCTCCTTCCCAGTCTCACCACCTTGGTTCTGGGCAGCTTTACTTCCCAACCGGGCTGTGGTAGCACCTAATTGGTCTCACCACAGTTTCAATCCACTTTAATCAGTCCTATACTGATTTAACACTGATATTAGTACTGCTAAATAACTCTTCCTAAGGCGCATCTCTCATCACATGAACTGCCCTCTCATAAATAACCAACACTTCCGTACTATTCCTTGAATAAAGCAGATTCCTTCATCTGGCATTCAACATTCTCTGCCTACCTTTCCAGCCTTCCTTCCCTGTATCCACTCCCATGTGCCAACTCAGGGTTCTCATTCTGCCTAAATCAATTATAGCTGAGGACCTGGGGTGGTGCTTAAGAACCAGCATTTTCTTTAAAGTTCCTGAGGTGTTGCTACTGAGAACGCCAGGTCTAGAACCTCTAGCCAAACAGGACTTTGTGCTTCCTGAATACTTCCACAATTCCCTGTGTCTGTGCTTTACCTAGAAAGCTCTTTGTCTTCTGTTTTTCCATCAAAGAACAAAGTTCTAACAAAGTACTACATGTAAATCTCCAACTCTCTCAATAAAAATTGCATTATCAACGGAAATATTTAAATAAGAGATTTAAACAGTGAATATATTGTTGGAACATAAGCCAGATAAAGAATTAGAATATGCTTAACCAGCCCTAAAGGGTGATATTGCCTGAATACTAAAAGAACATAAATGGAAGGTTACAGTGCTGCATCTGGAGTATTATACATAATTCTATGCACTAAAACACTGGCTGGAGATCAACTGGAGAACCAGAAAAAGATTAATTTAATACAACAGAATAAAGGTTACTGACCAAACAGCAGAGATTATGGAATTAAGTATACACTTAATGCATCTAAGGGCAACACTTGAAAAAGAGCACAGTACCTGTTTGAATATTGGGAAGATTCAAAAACAAAGAACTGGTAGAGGAGGAAGAAGGGTTGTTAGGCAAAAATAGTATAACAACAACAAAAAATAGTATAACAGGATGAAATAGAGACTAGAGCATTTAAGAAGGATGAAGAACACCTCTTCCTCTGAGTTAGGGTTTGAAGCCTCCTACAAAAAGTGAGGGATAAAGGACCTTCTTCCTACCTCTAGAGACCTTTAACACTAAATAAACCTCAGGAAATAACCTGTCAGCAATCAATCAACCTCGACTAGAGGAAATGGGCAAAACGTATCTGAAGAGGACCCCTCCGATTGCAATCTACCATCTAAACAAATGCACTAAAAAGCAAAGGCCTGGTCCAAACCCACACTACTATCCAACAATTGTTGAGCACCTTGTGCCAGGCCCTGGGCTGAGCACTTTATATGCATTACCTCCTTTAATCCTCACCCTACCTCACTTTATAGAGAAAACTAAGGGACAGAGATGTTGAATAACTTGACAAAGATAATGACACAACTCAGATACAAACATAAGGATGTCTGAGTCCGGAGCCCTCCTCTCTTAATTACTACACTCTAGTGCCCAAACTCTAGATTAGAACTCACAGAAGATGGGGAGGAGTGAAGGGCTCCAGGGTCTCACCAGTATTAATTTAGAACAAAGTAGCACAGGTTAAGGAGGTGAAAGTCAGGAACTACATCAAGCAATGAAAGCAGAGATGTTGGAAGAAAATAGCAGCAGAGTGGCAAAGTCAGGAAACACCACCCTCTCTTTGTAGTACTCTAGTCAGGCTTCTAATAGTCAGCCATCTACAGAAAGAAAATGAAGCAACTTCTGTGCTCTTTACCTTCTGCGTTTCCTGAGAAGGGGGCAATCCAGAAGGTCATCTGCAGTGGGTCTCTGCTCAGGATCCTAAAAAGTATCAATGGGTTAGTTTTAACTTAAAGGGAATGCGCAAGGGACTTCCTGGTGGTCCAGTGTGTAAGACTCCATGCTCCCAATGCAGGGGACTGGGTTTGATCCCTGGTTGGGGAACTAGATCCTGCATGCATGCTGCAACTAAGAAGTGTGCATGCCACAACTAAGAATACATGTGCCCCAACTAATAAGCCCACATGCCGCAATGAAGATCCTGTACGTCACAACGAAGACCTGGTGCAGCCAAAATAAATAAATATTTAAATAAATAAATGGAATGGGCAAAATGGGATCTAAAGACGCATTTTACTTCCTCTTAGAAGGCTGTAGGTTTGTTATTCAAAGATCACTATATACCATCCTTCTGTTTCAAAAAACTTATTTCTTATGTCACATTCTATGCTTCATGCTCACTATCATCAACACTTATATGTGAATGAGAATGCACCTTCCTCACTTGTTTTAACAGTGGTTCTCAAATTTCAGTATATATAGTACGTAAGAATCTCCTGGAGTGCCTGTTACAAATAAAGATTTCTGGGCTTTATCCACAGAGATTCTGATCCAGTCAGTCTGGGGTGGGGCCCAGGAATCTTCATTTTCTTCTTGTAAAACCCCCTCATCCCCTGGCGATTCTAATGCCTGTGGTTCCTGGACCACCTTTGAATAATACTGACCTAGAGCTGCACTGCAAGGCAGCTGTGACATTTAGAACTCTATACATTCTGCACATTAGGAATTCTAAATTACCTCTATTATTTTATAAAATCAATTTTAAAAAATTAATCTTGATCATAAAAAATGGAGCACAATTTAGGTGGTAAATTCATTTCGCAAATTAGTAAAGGAAGAATTTGTTGGCTGAAGCACACAACTATCATGAATTGCCAATGCCTATTCTCCCGGATACAGCCACAAATACATCCTACCCTGGGGAAGTGGATGTGGTTTTGTGCAGGTTCACCTATGCCATACTCCAAACACTGAGGCTGGAAGGGAAAGCACTGAACTGAAATCAATATGTTAAGTCATGCTTACCTGGTCAAGGCATGCATGGACCATTTGGATCAGTTCCAAAGAGTACTGGCTAGAATCAACTTCCATGGCCCGGATTCCTTGTACAATCTTCACACACAAGTTGAGTGGGTTCTATGAGAAAATAATTATTGTATTGTCCTTGGTTATATAAAGATGACATTATAATCTACTAGTAGGGGCTTTGAAATGCCTGTGACTATCATATAAAGAAACAGCAATAGTTCTTCTGAATTAGGTCTGACTTCTTTTTACAACTGTTGGTATATATCAGCAAGAAGTGGTTAGGGGGGCTTCCCTGGTGGCGCAGTGGTTGAGAGTCTGCCTGCCGATGCAGGGGACACGGGTTCGTGCCCCGGTCCGGGAGGATCCCACATGCCATGAAGCGGCTGGGCCCGTGAGCCATGGCCGCTGAGCCTATGTGTCCAGAGCCTGTGCTCCGCAACGGGAGAGGCCACAACAGTGAGAGGCCCAAGTACCGCAAAAAAAAAAAAAAATGGTTAGGGATACACTACTGCTGTCAGAGAATGAAGCCAACTGGCCAACATGGAGGTATGACTATGTGACCAATAGAATAATACTTAGAGTATATTATAATCTGACCCTTCAACTGAATCCTAAGAAAAAGGAAAGCAAGGTTAGCTATGCTTCTTGGCTTTACGTATGTCCTTTGCCAACTAATGTGCCTCCTAAGCAGGTGATACTCTGCTGTAACAGACAAGGCAATGAATAATAAGTTCATAATGATAAATTATTATCAGTGCCACCACCACCTTTACTGAGACCAACAGAAACGTAAGTTGCACATATAATGTTTTTTAACCCTTGCAAACACCATGCAAGGTTACCATTACCAATTCAGAGACGTAAAGTAACTTGCCCAAGACTACACGGATAGTAAAAAATGGAGCCATAATTTCAACCAAAGTCTATCTGACTCCAAAACTCATTTTCTTTCCACTATGTTATTTAAGAAAACTAGATGATAGATCAGAATAAACTTCAGCACTTAGAAAAATAAACAGGTCTCATAAAAGGCCAAAGAATTCTGCATTATCTTACATTTGCATTTTCATATACATTAGCAGAGCATCTCTATGAGAGGAATATGTATTTTTTCCCTTGTTATAGCTAATGAAATAGAGGATTAAAGAGATGAAGTGATTTGCCTAAGTTCTCACATCTGGTTTGTAGAGGATATTGGATGTGAATCCACTTCTGCTACTCAAATTGTGACCCATGGACTAGCTGGGAGTTTGTCAGAAATGCAGAATATCAGGCCTAGCTCCAGACACACTAAAATAGAGTCTGCATTTTAACAAGATGCCCAGGTGATTTCCTATGTATATTAAAGTTTGGGAAGCACTGCTTTATACTGGGCTTTACTTAAGAAGAAAAGAAAAGAGACTTAAAGGGATTTGTTGTTTATAAAACAGTAGCAATCTTTAGTAAGAGTCAGGGTGTAATTTTTCATAAAAAAGATCAAAACACTTTAATGAGTATTATATAACTTGCCTTAGCTTTTATAAAACGATGTAGCTGAAGCGTAAGAAATGAAATGGCTTATCTAAACTGCTGCATCACACAGTCGATCCTAGAGCCAGTTTCAAAATTATAGTCAACGGATTCAAGGACCGTGCTCAAACTACTTGATTATGATTATTTCAGTGGGGAATTCAAGTTGGAAATAAATCTTGTCTGTAGAATTTTAGTAATACACTACTAAGCCAGTGCCTGAATACTGGTTATTTTTCCTACAGCTGATTTCTGTTCAAGAAATCAGAAGCTCAGGGATAAAGTTGATTCTCTCAACCAAGCTGTACCATTTGCAAGGACAATGCAGGGATAATACATCAACTTACTGTAGCATCAAACGTTCTCTTTAGCGTAAGCAGCTCAAAAATGACACAGCCCACTGCCCAGATATCAGACTTGAAATTGTATTTAACTCCTTGGCAGAGCTCTGGAGACATGTAATATGGAGTTCCCACAAGCTGAACAACAAAGAAAGCAATCAAAGAATAACTTCTTTTCTGAGGTAACTATATTAATATTTCAACTAAATTAAATTTCCTAGAACTAGTGATAACAATTACAAAACATTCATCAGCATATCCCAAAATGGTTTTTATGAGATGATGCCACTATGAGGAGAAATCTTATTCATATCAGATCTCTTGGGCCAATTATAAAGGGACAATCTCTGTGGTAAAGACCTATGGTAATTTGGGAGACAGAAAAGCTCTGTGATTCCTGGATCACAGAGGATTTAGGCATTCAAGACCCACTTAAGACTTCACAGACTTTATAAAAAGCATACTTGGTAAAAGTTCACTAATGGAAAAAAAAAAACTGGTAGTGGGGAGATGGTAATTGAATAAATAGGTTAAAAGTTCTAACTGAAACGCATAGTAGTGAAACTTTGTAAATGGCTCAATTTAACATTTGTAATACTAACACAGCTAGTGAATTTCTTCCAAATTTAAAAAGACCTTCTGAGTTCAAGAATGTGTTGGAAGGAAAAAAAATGCCCTGAATGGAGGTCATGCCTCTTCCAAGATGAGAGACAATGAGTACCCTGGAAATTCTAATAAAACTGATAGCCATCTTTCATCAGCAAGGCAAAGCAGTTTTTCAGATGGCTTACATATTGTTGTTCTTTGCATTTAACTGGGTTAAAGAAGTTAAATCTTGGTTTTATCGGATTACTCTTGATGAGAAAAATCCATGCAACAACAAGACTCCTTCCTCAGAAACTCAATATGGCACTGTCATACAAGCAAACTGAGTCCCTGAAGCCGACTCCCAACCTTGGCTATCAGTATCCTTGGATGTTTCTAGATTGCTTGCAGGCACATCTCAACAGTATCAAAAATAATCATCAGGACAAAATTAATTTTATTAGTTTACATTTTCAAGTTCTTTTAAAGACAAAGCATTGTGAAACCAGAAGAGTAATAATTGGGTTTTATAAGTCCTAAAAGGATCAGATCACTGTCTTTAAAGATCAGCTTATGTCTACTCTTTACAAATGGTCTTTCATAGGATCAGGTGAGAAGGGAACTCTGCGGTTCAGACTGTGTATCACATTAAAGATGAGATTGTTCTTTGGGCATCAGCCTTTATTTGTAATTTAGGGTTTCTGAACCAGAAAAAACTCAAAGGAAACAGATGTCTAACACCCTAAGAACAAACATTAAATGAGAGATAAAGTGAAATCTACTAAAGATCCTAGGCTGGAAAAAATTTTATTGCTTTTAGAAAAGTCTCTAGTCAGTGTTGGAAAGGCCAATGATGTCAGAGCTGTTATGTGGACAATGGCTCTTGAAAAAACACCTGAGCATGTAAATGACTATTAGTGGGTCCAGGAAAAAGACTCCTGAAGACTTGCTTTATAAGTATGGAGAACTTGTAAAAATATTGAGAAAAGTGTGCAAAATTTAGGGGGTACAGTTATATCTCACAGTGCAGGAAAGGAAAAGAAAAAAACTACGTCAGGAGGAATTCCTTGGCGGTCCAGTGGTTAGGACTTTGCTTAAGATCCCACATGCTGCATAGCGCCACCAAAAAACAAAACAAAACAAAACCAAGTCAAGGATAACACATACTTACCGTCTCAGCCATGGAATACTCAGAATTAAGTTTCTTTGCTAGGCCATAATCTCCAAGTTTTATCAGGTTTGCTTTGGTCAGAAAAATATTTAATGTCTTTATATCTCTGAAAAAAAAAGATGCTGTATATTAAACCCATATACTCAACTATTTTATCTCATCCCCCTTCCCGCCCAAAATTAGTACAAAATAAAAAGAGTGTGTTACTACTGCTCAGGCTGTTACGGGATCCCAAAGAGTGGTCATCACTTTCTCATACATTTTAACATTGAGAAGGGGACTTGGGGGAGTGGAGGCAGAGAATTAACTTCATCCTCCATGGCTTCACAGCACAGGCATGTCCCCCAAAACACTGAAGTCATTAGGAAAAGCTGAGACGGTCAGACCAAAAAAAAAAAAAAAAACAAAAATGGTGCCCTAGGTAATCATAATTCCTATAAGGTGTACTGCCTCTTCAATTAACACTTGTGCCTTGAAATAAGTGATTATCAAGGCAATTTTAACACTTGGTTGGTGCCAAAGTTTCAAATTTGTTAAGGCAAGAGAACAGAAGAGACAGCACATCCCAGCAGCAAAATGATTAGGCTATGTAGATCACCTAAATAAAATCACTCTTTCTAAAGATGAATTGACCATAAGTAACACAAATAAACTGTGTCTAGTTCATACTCTGGCTTCCTTTACTGAAAGATGTGAAAAAAACAGAACAATATTCTTTGTAATTGTCGAAAAGAAAGTAACAATACACAGCAGTAGCCACTCGACAGCTATCAAGAAATATATGGTATCTGAATGGACAAACCAATAAAAAGGGAAATGCTAGTGTATTAACATTAATCTCTAACAATGGTCCATGACTCACTTAAGCAGGGTATAATGACGTGGAAATGTTCTTATAATGGTTCTCTCCTATGGCTAGAAGTGAATAGAAAGCTGTTTCCCTGGCCAAAGCTCTGGTAAAACTGCATAATTAATTGTACAAAATGAATACGCTTTTTACTTAAATTAATTAATTAATTTATTTATTTTTGGCTGCGTTGTGTCTTTGTTGCTGCACGCGAGCTTTCTCTAGTTGTGGTGAGTGGGGGCTACTCTTCGTTGTGGTATGCGGGCTTCTCATTGCAGTGGCTTCTCTTGTTGCGAAGCACGGGCTCTAGGCACGTGGGTTTCAGTAGTTGTGGCACGTGGGCTCAGCAGTTGTGGCTCACGGGCTCTAGAGCGCAGGCTCAGTAGTTGTGGCACACGGGCTTAGTTGCTCCGTGGCATGTGGGATCTTCCCAGACCATGGCTTGAACCCGTGTCCCCAGCATTGGCAGGTGGATTCTTAACTGCTGAGCCACCAGGGAAGCCCTTTTTACTTAAATTAAAAAACTTAATTATAAAATTAAAAACAATTTCCCATTTTATTGCTCAGAGAAAACATTTACTGTGAGTTCCAACCAATCTAATACCACTTTTATAGTGGCTTTCTAGGCTTTACTGATGAATTAATGAACTCACCTCTAAAATACTTCTTAAAGAGATGACTGAGCAGTACTTAGCTATTGAGGAGATTCTTCCTAGATCACAGTTTAACTTTAGGAAGTGAAGATAACGCCCCTCATTACTCACTGTTTCCTTCCTAAATTATATTAATGGAAAAGCCTTGACTGCTTAATCAAGAAAATAATAGTGCTGATGGGAGGTACCCAAGGTGAGGGTTGGATTGGTGGAAAGGAATACATCCCACATTCTTTCACTCATTACCTATGAAGGATTCCAGCTTTATGGATACAGCTCACTGCTGAAACAATCTGAAATAGGTACCATACCACCATCTGCAGAGGAAAAATAAATTATACTTGGACTGGAAACAAACCAAAAAAACCATATAAATAAACACACACACTCGAACACACAAAACAAAGGAAGCTGCAACCAGAGGTTATGATTCAACATGACATGACATTTCTTGCTTGTAGGTTGAGTAGGCAAAGAAAAGTGGTAGGGGTTTAAAAAAATAAAAATCAGATCATTATAAAATAGTTCCAATATTGTTATATAGTATGATGAAGCAGACTTGTGGAAAGAAAACCAGGAAGAATGCAAAGGTATAGAAAACTGGGCGTATCAGTATGCAGTAACAGAACCAGGAAAGACAGTTCATAGAGAATCATGATGTGGAGGTAAACCATTTAGGAAGCAGCTATAGTCTGCTTCCTTGTTAGAGGTTTCCTTTCTCATGAATATCAATCAGAGCCTTGAAGGAGTCTGAATAAAAGGAAAAAAACACTCTTCATTGTTGTAAGAGTAAATACAGAACTAGAATGCAAGAATCACAACATTACAATTCTAGCTTCCTTCCACAGAAATATGAATTACCTCTTCCTCAAACAACTTGTCCTTCTGACGAAGGATTTTGTCATACAGGTTCCCTCCTGCAATAAAACAAGAAACAGGTTTGAATTGCTTAATAGAGATCAACGCTCCTAGGGTTTTAACAGGTGCCACAGTAAGTGAAGGATTCTGCTTCCTCTTAAAAGATACCCCTTCTTCCTTCTCAGCTCTTGGGTACATGGGTACAAAACTCTTCCCATCTGTCAAGGACTATATCTGAAATATTCTTCAGAAATTCCCCTCCCTAACAGAAGAGACTCAATACGAAAACGGGAAGTACAGCATTTTTAGAAAAGATGAGAGTAAAGACACTTTCTATAGTACCCTAATTTATAAAATTACTTTGAAAGTCTTCAAAATCAGACGATTTTCTTTTCCAAAACTCCTTTTAAAGGAATCTGCAATATTTTGGTAACAACTCTCTCAGTGTGACTATTAGAACATTTGGGTTACAGCTGTGATGTGATGTTTTGTATATACAGGTGTATATCATCAACTTCTTTTTCTTTCCACTTCACGCTGAAAAAGTTTCCCAAAATTTAGGGTAGACTCTAGATTGTTTCCAATCATTACTCCCTTTACTAACTCCTTCCTGCAGAGTAAGTCTGAATTTGCTTCTCCCTTTCATTATCAAGTAATACAGACTGCAAATGATGATGGTTCATTTTATTTCCTACTTGCAGCTGTAACTTACACTGTAGTCCTGGTTAAGTTTCACAACTTTTTTCCCCTTGCAATTTAGTAACTCAGAGTTTCAATAAATACACCATTCATTCTAGTTCCTCCTAACCACAAAGGAAGTTAGCTACTTGAGGCTTCTGCTACTTCAAAAATTTTTTAAATAATCTCATACATTTAGGGTTGAACACAGGAACAATCATGGTACACAAGAATCTAGTAAGAAACTTAGAAGTCTGGGAGCTTTCTCTTAAGAGATTTAAGGGAAGAATATGCTGGGACCTCTTTAGCATGCAGCTCAAGAAAGGGCTTTGGGGGTTCTCTTACATAAGAAGGATAATAGCTTGTACAGTATTTATCAAAAATTTGCTACATATCACGTACTATGCTAGGAGCTTTACATATTAATTTCATACAACAACCCTAGGAGGTAACTACTGCTTATCATCAAGCTCACTTAAGATAAGGAGGCTGAGGCACAGAGAGGTTAAGTTGCTCATGCAAGATACAGAGCTAAAAAGTAGTGAAGCTTAGGATATGGGTTCAGGGTCTATTTTCTTAACAAACAGGCTATACTGCTATTTTACAAGCAAAAGTGTTCAAAGAAATCATTTTCAGTCAGCTATGATCTTTGGACCACTTTTCAATAGGATGGCTTTAGCTGAAGTCAATATAAATAAATATTACCTACAAGATTTCATTATATATCAAGCCATTTCATTATATATTATATCAAGTGTCAAACCATGCTATGTCTCTAATGCCTGACTAATGTCATTTCATAAGGAAAAAACCTTGAAAAATGAATGTAAAATTCAACTGAACAAGTAATTTGAAGATGGAATTATCATCACAAAGGAGAATTTGAGTATGCAGGGGAAAAATCCCTCCCCTCATTTTGTAGATCATTTCAAAACTCTCCAGGGCCTGAACTATTTCTCTTAAACTCTAGAAATCCATTTAGAGTTCTTATTCTTTGTATGTGTATCTTCTTTTTCTCTCCCCCTTAAGGTAAGTATAAGCACAGGAATGTCTCACTGGAGGAAGTCCCACTGAATTCTACCTTACCATTACAATATTCCAGCTCAATCAGCAGCGTGGTGTTGTCCATGAAGTGATTGTAGTAGGCAATAATGTTGTCATGCTGCAGCAGCGCCAGAATAACAATCTCATTCAAGGCATCACGACGTTCCTTCTCAGACAGTCGGGTCAAATCAACTTCCTTCCACACGACCAATGAGTCATCCTGTAACACAGTAATAGAGCTATCATGCTTTCCTCGCGCCTGGCAGAGAATGAATCCACACCCGGATCTGTAAGCCTAGAAAGAAAACTTCCTAGACTGACTCCTTTTTTTCCTTTAAACATGAACAGACTTTAAAGGTTCTGCATACAACCAAGCATCATAATTTACTGCAGGCCTGGGAAAGCATTAAGATGCTGTTACATTGTTTCTACACTTAATTTACATGATGTCAATTCCAGGTAAAAAATATGGGATGGAGGTAGGTCTCAAAGATTCTGTTGAGGGACATTATGAAAGACTGCTAGTCATGATGAGGATTGGATTAGAGAAATAGAGAACTGGAAAATGGTTACCTTTGGCTGACCAGTTTCTTGTAAAACAGAGATGTTAAAATTACCTCTAATTTTATAAATTTAGATTTCTCTAGTGATTTTCATTTATTCTTTCTGGATAAGAATAAGCCAGGTCTAAGGGCTCTGAGTTCACTTTCCTCACCCTGTCCCATTCTGCAGCTCTGTTTCTACTGTCACTTTTATGTTATCATGTTTTCCTCTATTCATGAAGACTTACCTGTGGCTCCCAATATTCACTCCGTTTTATAACATCTCTAATTCTTTACAAATACTGCTCCCCAGCCCAGGAGCATCCCCACCTAAATAACCCTCCCTATCCTTTAGAATGGCTTCGTTAGGCCTTTGAAACTTTGGGGGAAGATCAATGAACCTTCCACTGTGCATTTCCTTAACTTTCAGAGCTCATACACTAAAATATTTATCCATTCTTTTCCCCTTATATACACATACAACTTAAACGCTATTTGTTACTAACAAGACTAACATGTCTTCCCGATGAAATATACGCTTCTTGAGGGAAAGGGCTGCTTCTAATTAAACCCTTGTAAATTCACAGATGTAATAAACATTTGGTGTTATGGATAATACTGTGCAATTTTAAGGAAAGTGCAATCAAACTTAAAACAACCTTGGTAATCAAGTTCAACATGATAATAATGGAAAGGGATGGACAAGGAGATGTGAAACTCCATTCTAGCCCAGGATTTGCTTCTAATTTAAGTGGGCAAGTCCTTAACTATAAACTAGGAATACCAAAGCTTATCTCCTCATTCTCATATTTTGAGTACAAATAAGAAAGCAGAATACCAACAGTAACTCTAACCTCATACATTAATCTTGCAACCACCTCTCTCCTCCTCCATCTTTTAGCCTTAAAAGTACCTTGGAACACACACCAGAACTGCAGACAGAGAGATCACTGATAGATCAATCACCTTCAGCAACCCCAGCAAGTTCTCACTGATGCTTACCTATTCTAAAACTAGAGTTTTAAGACTTTAGTGATCAAACCCTGTTTATGGTTAGTTTTTGGAAGTAGACTCCCCAGTATACGGTTTTAATCAGTATACATTCTGAACTTGAGGGTCAGTAATCCACAAATCTCTTCAAAGGATTTGTATGTGTGCAGTAGTGGACCGGGGGGAGGGTATGTTTACATTAGATTCTCAAAGGAGTCCTGTCCCTCCCAAAGAACTAATGGCTTAGAATATACCAAAATAAAAAAGTATTTCCCACGCATAAACGCTGCTGGAAAATCACTGAAGAAACTAACACGCTACAATCTTCCCTATGATCTTCAAGAAAAATCTCCAACTGCGTGTTCATATCTGAACATAAAGATATGGCAAAGGCAGGGGAGCTGCCACGGATGTGGGAATTTTGAAGCTATCCCCTCCTCTCCACCTCGACCTTGGAGAGCTGTACAGCACAACAGGAAGGAAGTTTTGACAATACCTCACATTCATAAACTACTTTAATTTACAGTTTGCAAAGTATCTTTGTTCGATTCTCAAAATAACCTTTAAAAGTAAATATTACATTTAAGGTACGTAGCTATCACTAACTCCAATTTACAGATGGGGAAACTAAGGCTCAGAGAAGGCTCAATGACTTGTTCAGTTGCCTGATTTAAACAAAAACGACCAGTCAGTAAAACCAGTGCTCTAACGAACTCCTAGTGCAGGAGAGTTGAACGAGTGATGGAAGACCCCCGAGACAGATACCCTGCAGGGCCCTAACACTAAGCGAGGACGATGTGCAGGTAGAACAGGGCCGCGCAGGCGGGGCGGGGGCGGCCGGAGCCGGGGGCCGCTACCTCGGTGCGGCGGTACAGCGTGGCCTCCCCGAAGGCGCCGCGGCCCAGGATGCGGATGGGGATGTAGTGCAGCTCCTCCTGCTCCGCAGCGCCGCCGCCGGCTCGGGGCCCCGGACCAGCGCTGGGCCCCGGGCCCGAGTCCCCGCCACCCCCGGACTCGCTCCCAAAGTCCGAGTTGAGGGAATCGCAGTGTCGCTCGTATTCGCCCAGCACCGACATGGCGGCGGCCGCGGGACCCGCCTGCGTGTCCCGGGCGGCGCTGCGCCTCTCCCGCTTCAGACGCCAGCCCGCAGCCCCGTCAGCCCAGGCACCCCGCCACCCAGCGAGGTTCCATGGTGGGTCCTTCCCCCTTGACCCGGAAGCAGTTCCGAGTGCTTCCGGCCCGGCGGGGTTTCCTCCGCTTCCGCTGGTCGCTCGTTTAGCCTAGCGGCGAGGTTGCTTTTCCTCCAGGCGGTCTGGGAAATCAAGGACTCGGGCGGTAGTGGCGGCGCCTGGTGGAGACCGCGTGGAGTCCAGTGGCTCTGGCGGGGGCAAGGGCGTCATCGACGGGTCTGTAGACCCCTCCCCTCATTGCTGGCCAGGTCCCCAGTTTTTTTTTTTTTTTTAACATTAATCACAGGCTCTTCCTCTCTTAGAATGTTTTCTGACTGAACTCATGTAAGTTGCATAAATTAAGGACTTGCTAGAGATTGCTCAAATTTCATCTTAAAAGTTATTTTTAAAATAGATCTTTTTATTGGAGTAACTGCTTCACGATACTGCGCTAGCCTCTGTCGCACAACAAAGTGAATCAGCCACATGCACACATACATCCCCATGTCCCCTCCCTCTTGATCCTCCCTCCCACCCTCTCTATCCCACCCCTCTAGATCGTCGCAAAGCACCCAGCTGATCTCCCTGTGCTATGCAGCTGCTTCCCACTAGCTATCTATTTCACATTTGGTTGCGTATATATGTCCATGCTACTTAACCTCCTCCTACGTCCTCAAGTCCATTCTCTATGTCTACGTTTTTATTCCTGCCCTGCCACTAGTTTCATCAGTACCATTTTTTGTTTTTAGATTCCATATATATGCATTAGCATACGGTATTTGTTTTTCTCTTTCTGACTTCACTCTCCATGACAAGACTCTAGGCTCAGACAGTTTCGATGCCCAGAGGTCATCCAGTCTCATATGGGCGCCAGGCCTATCTCAAGGGCAGTGACTGGGGAAACAGTCCCTTCCAACGTCGCACAGCGCTCTTTGTTTAGTAAGCAATTTATACCTTTCCCCCCCACCAGCGGAATACTTGCCTCCTGTCGTCTCAGTCAGTGGGCCCAGTTGTTTCTTCCAGACCTACCCAGGACTACGCTGGGTCCCTCCATCTTCCACATAACTTCAAAAATATTTTAAGTCAACTCTCCTGACACTCTCTTTCCAGATTTCACATTCTCCTTCTACGTGTCTTTCCAAATCTTTGACCAACAGACCTCATGCAACATTCTTTGCGCACTAAGTGCCAGATACTGTATTTGGAGGTGGGGAATCTGCAAAGGGTGCTCCCCGCCCTAAAGTCACTAAAAAAATTGCAATACAGTGGAAAAACATGTTCCATCAGTTATGTGACCTTGGACAACTTTACATCTCCAAGGTTCCTTTTTTTTTTCTTTATGGTACGCGGGCCTCTGACTGTCGCGGCCTCTCCCGCTGCGGAGCACAGGCTCCGGAAGCACAGGCTCAGCGGCCATGGCTCACGGGCCCAGCCGCTCCGCGGCATGTGGGATCCTCCCGGACCGGGGCACGAACCCGCGTCCCCTGCATCGGCAGGCGGACTCTCAACCACTG